CTGCACCGCAACGCCAGCCTTTCTGCCTTATCATACGTGGCAGTGACAATAAAAAGACAGAAATGTGGACCAGATTTACATTGGAGATGCATTTGTGGGGGGCTTGTTCCGTGCATATATTGTCTGTGTAACTAACCTCTAAAGAAACACTCACATAAACATCCAGCCCGTGACTTCATTAAGATGCTCACAGACTCTATGGGAAGTCCATAATAATCTCTATAGAAAGAATGCAATCAATATGCTATCGAGAAGATAAGTCAGTGTCAACTCTAATGTTTAAATATTCATCTACTCGTACCAACATCTTGTCTGTTACTGAAACAACAGGAATATTCAAAGATTAACTCTACATAAAATACTCTGTAATTTTTTTCTCCAATTCCTTGTTTTTCTCTCGTCAGTTCTACGAACAGTTGTTAAGTAGAACAGGTTGGCATTTTTTCATCAAAACGTTACTTATTTGAAAAATGGGTCTTGGAACAAACCAAGACTTTTGCAGAAAATTTTCATTTGGGGAAAATTTTCAGCTTGTTGTCAAGAAAAGTGAAAACTGAAAAGAACTCATTTTCCAGGATACACAATAGTTCTGAATATATAATCAAAAGAGCTAAAAGAACCAGACGGTATTTGTTTTAATCCAAAGAATTTGAAGGGAGAGAATATAAAAGGACTCATATTAACTGCAAGCACATTTATGAGGAGCTTCAGGAGAGAGAAGATTTGCTTCTTCACTCAGGACCACTAGACTAACTCCAGAAAGTACCAGAGGAGAGAAGGAGAGAGGATGACTTCCCAGCATTTGTGACCTACTCAAGCCTTTCTATCACTCGGAAGAAACTTCCCAACATTTCTACAGTGAAAGGTCTGTTTAAAGTCAAAAATAAAGTTTATGCAGAAGATTAAGAAGCATGCGAAATGCTTGGACAGAAAGATGCATGAAGTTCTCTGGAGCTTGTGTTCTGCAAGGTGCTGCTTGGAGGCTCTAAATATAACCAACATTTCTGCCACCAGAGGCAATAGTCCCTGCAAAAGGGGAGAAAACTGATCTCCCAGATTATTGCTCTGCCCTGAGAAATCCTGCCGAAGAGCATTAGTGTGGTTTCATGCAAGATGGTGAGTACATCTACCTGAGATCTGGAAAAAGTAATGTATGGTAGTGAGCTCAGTCCCACAACTGATGCATCTATAACAGCGTGTGCATTGTGCTACATATTAGAAGTAACTCGACGTGTTCAACACCTAGCTCAGCAGGTAAGCACTGAAGGAAAGCCTGCTACCATTTCTTAGGTGGGTTTTGAACTTCAGAACTGGATGAGTGATATGACAATATGAAAAGCAACAGAGACAAACCACGCTGTCATCGAGAGAGGTTTGTAATGAAATAGCGTAGTATTTGCCATTTTGCTATTTACCAAAAGCCTTGTTTTAATCAGGGCTGTAATTAAAGCTCTTAATCATTCTGAACAGTTTCAAATGAATGGCTTCTCTCATGCGTTAACATATCATTTATGCAACAAATGTACATGCAAGGTAGTGTCAGTAGTCTGTCTGGACATAGGAAGCAGCCTATTGAAACACATCTATTTGTCAGTATTTTAATACAAATCTGAAAATGCTAGTTTACACATTTAAGAAGCTGTTACAAACTGTCAAACAAAAAATATGTATCTTGTGAATTAATGAGGCTTCCTAAAGATACCAACTGTGTCTGTACGCAGCATGCAGTGATGGTGAAGGGGAAGCAAACAGAGCATGGCAGAAAGAGCCTGCAGCTGCCAGCATGGGGCTGTGTCCTGAAGGACCTCCTCCAGGGGAGGGTATATTATCCCCACCACCCAGCCAGCATGGGCTGAATTAGTCCTCACGGAGCCCAGGTTTGGGAAAGGACAGGAGCAAAAGTGGGAATGGGGATCTATAGCCTCCATTTATGCCTGGATACATTGTCAGGCCACCTGTGGATCCCAGAACATGTTGAGATACTCAAATGAGAAACGCACTGAGGTGGGAGTTACTGGTACTCACTGAGGAGCTCGTTCTTCCCACATTTTTCTGTTGATGAAGTCCTGGCACCACAAGCTTCATGGGCTGTAATACAGCACGTGACAGGCACCCTCAAGTTGTCCTCATGTCCCTGTCATCAGGGGGCAATTAAACAAAGGCTAAATCTAGGCCCTGGTAATGCAAGGTATTTCTGGGCAGCCCATGTGTACTGCCAATATGCTCTGCTTGGTCCCTCTCCACTCTTCTGCCTGTGTGTGATGGGGTGACAAGTGCAGCACTGGCAGGAGAGCAAGAGGAAGGGGTCAGGCAGGTGGGGAAGGGAGGGCTCTGGAGTGCCAGGAAAGAGGCACCGAATGGAGAAAGGAGGCTAGGCGGGCACAAGTCCAGCAGCAAACACTCACTGTGATTTGAGAGTTTTGTAGAATTTCAACCTGTTCTGGTGAAAAAGCAAATTCTGCAAGGCTGCTTCTCCGAAGATGGGCATGCATTCTCTTTCCCCGCTTCAAAGAGTTAAAACAGAGTGGAAATTAATACATAGTCAGATTTATAAGCACAGTACAAAACACATATGGTATTAGGCAAGGCTGGGAGAGGTATCTAGCTTTTCTTTTTTTTTTTTTCTTTCCTCAGCTCCTTGTGTTTCCCCTCCCAACCACAGTCTAACTCTCTTTCTTGAAGGTCACAAACCTATTGTTCCCAGGTGCTACCTCTCCCTTCTGCTCCTCTTCTGCTGGCAGCAAAGGCAGCAGGAGCCTCCTAGAATTTCTTTCTCTCTTAAAGAGTGGGAAAGGACAATACCCTTCTACCTTGCTAGCTGAAGGTGAGCAGGAATTTGACACAAAATTTTCAAGGGAATTGCTGATTTCTTTAAGACAGTGCTCCAGAAGGGGCTTTGCCGGACTTCCAGCAAAATGTTGGCATGGTTCCTAGGAAGAACTGGTGGACTCCCAGTGCCAAATGGGCAGTGTGCTGGGGAGGGGGCCAGGTGCCAGCACAAGGAAGCCCTGGCAGATGGATGGATGTCCTCAGCTGGGCACTTCGGACTTTGGGCCACCCAAACCACAAGGACGTGGATCCTCATGGCATCTGGAAGGTCCAGATTCCTCCACATGCAGCAGAGAGCCTTGAGAGCTGCATCTAACATCTCGCAGGTTCCTCTCCCTCTCTGCACCGGAAATTTGAATGATCGCCCTGCATTCGCTCCACCTATGTGCTGAAACAGATAAGTAAAACGCACCTGTATGAAACACGTTACTGACCTGCTGCCCTTGGCTTTGCGTGCACACATGCTTGAGACACCCGTCTCCCAGATGTCCTCCAGCATGTGAAATGTATTTGTGTGTGCTTCAGGGCTGCAGTGGGGGCTGCGATCAGCAGGTGTGCCAGGTCACTGGTCCTGGGTCACCAAAAGTCACCTGCAGCACCTATATGCCTTCGGAGGTGCCACCTTAACACATTTCTTTCAGGGCAACCAGTGATGGATGGATGAGCTAAACATATAAAATCCCCCGTTTTTCCTCTCAGAGGCCACAGTAACATTCAGTCCCACTTCCATGTCAAGCTTAAGTCTGCATTTTAACTATACATTGAGGAGACTGTTTAAAAAAAAAAAAAAATCTAATATTATGCTTTAGAATAGAGAATTTACCTAAGTAAATAATTATTTTTAAACCCAAGATTTAGGCAGCTTTAGTATTCCACATTATGCTAATGTTTGACAATTACTAAGTGTGGGTATCAGCCAGCATTTTTTTTTTAAGTTTAATTTAAAGCAATTTGACATGGAAAGGTTATTACTTTAGTTGCCAATAAAAGCTGTTCTTTTAACATAAGTGTACACCAAGCCCTAGGGTATGTGACTATTATCTTTTCTGCAATTATGTGGTGTTCTACATAAATGTTTAAAAAAAAAAAAAAAAAAAAACTTCGAAATATCAAAAGTACGAACTTAGCTCCAGCAGGAAAGTTGAGCAGCAGCTGCGGGAAGCCCGGCTCCTGCCGACACAACGCAGGTTGAGGTTTCCTCCTAGAGGTGCCGCCGGGAACGGCGCTGCCCAGCGCGGCTCCGCCAGCGCCGAGGCTGTGCCCGCTCCTGCCCTCGCTCAGCGCTGGCGGTGCCATTTCGCATCCTTACCTGCCGGCACCCCCCGCGGAGATGCCTTCTTTCACAAGGGGTTTGGTGGTTTTCCCCTCCTTCCCCCAGGGTTTCAGGGCGAAGAGGGAAAAAAAGGGTTTTCTTGCCGTCCCCCTTGAGCACAGATTTTCTTTATGTTGGGAAATTGTGGGTCCTGCTCGCTGTGGGGCTGTGTTGGCAGAAGACACCCCACAAACAGGGCAGTGAGCCTCCCCCTCTGCAGGTGCTGCAGTCCTGTACCTGGCACACAGCCTGGCACGGGTGGATCACAGCTCAGATGGGGAGCTTGGTCCCACGAGACAGAAGCACCACAGCATGATCACCTCTGTCTTTGAATGGAAAACAGCTTTTTCCCCCAAAAAAATACATGTGAGATCAAAAGGAGCCACAACGCCATTGTTGGAGACCCTGCATGGCATGGGTAGGGGAGTGCAGAAGAGGTGGGAGCCTGTCCTCTGCAGCAGGCAGGCCAGCCCAGCACGTGTGAGAGGAGAGGTACGTCCCTCCTGACCCTTGCTCTCCCTCCAGGATTCATTCCTTTGGCCGACCAGAGGATGCTGTGCAAACCTAAAGCACTGTCTGGTGTTTGCCCAGCGCCTTGAGGACTTGGCACCGTGGGCTGTTTCGTCCTAGGCCCATCCTGTACTGCAGGGAGAAGCCGATGAGCACAGCGAGCAACTGCTGAGACTTGGCCTCTCCCCCCGGCCCCAATGGGGCAACGAGGGGCAGAGCCAGGGCTGGCGTGGATGTGGGGCAGCATCCCCAGACAGGGTCCAAGCCCCACATCAGCCTGCATGGAGATAAACTCACCTCGCTCGCCCTTCAAAGGCAGAGCCTGGGGGTAAACAGATTGACGTGAGACAAGTTCTAGTCCAAACAGTGAGGGTTGCTTAGTTAAGAGATCACTTTGATATAATTTTTTTTTTAAGTCTGGGTTATTTTTTTTTTTCTGTCTGGGTCTTGTTTTTAAAGTTAATTTGGAGCTTGCAAAAGTCACAGCATGACCCCTGCCGACTGCAAATCTTCCCAAAAACACCCGGCACCAGGGCAACAGACTCCAGCTTCCCGCAGCGCCCTGCCAGTGCCTTTCGGTGCTAACCTGCAACCATCCCAGACAGGGAAAGGGAATTCAACCCCAGCAGCCTGCGCAGCCCTTTGTCTTTCTACCGAGAAAGCCAGAACATTGCTTAGTTACAGTGCCAACTGTAGTTCATGTTTCAAATTAGCTAAAGTTTGTTATTTTACACTTTAGGTAGGAGCTGCAACAAACTGCTCACCAGCAGTCCAAGCGATAGTATACAAGCCCCTCTAGGATCCCTTGGAAGAGCTCCTGATGAGTTCACCAATGTTTGCACATTAACCTCTGGGTGAAAAGCCAGCCAGAGGGATGTGAGAACTGCACCAAGCCCTCCAGAGCATGACACAAAATGATGCAAGTGTGGGAGCTAAGAGAGGAAAGGTTGTGTGAGCCCAGAAAAATAATAAAACATTTAAATCCTTAATTGTTTTTCTTGAAGATTTATCCAAAATTGAGCTCTCCTTAAGCTTGTGAGTTTTCAGAGCATTGTCAATAAATTAGATCATTCACACAAGGCAGGGATTTCAAGCCAAAAAGCTCTAGCCGTGAGTCGCTTAACAGCAACACTCCCCAGAAAAACGACTTGAGATGAAACATGAGATATGTATTAATTATCAATGGTCTAATAGAAAATTTAATGAAGACAAGTATCTTCTTGCACTTTATCCACGATAACGATGATAGTACGTCAGCGAGATGCATACCTTACAATGTGGCGGTGAATGTCAAGTCTGAAGCCATTATAGCAATTCACCACAATAATGGCTAGCCAATGTATGGACTTGTAGCACTTAATCAAAGTAATGACATTCATCCACAATTATTTATGTTATGGTAACAAAGAGCTGCCAAATGCAAAACAAATGACATGAGGATTTGCAAGTGAATTCCTTCCCGTAAATTCTCCTAAGGTTATGCTTAAAGGCCCTCAGGATGGAAGTCTGTATAAATTCAGAGCGTTATCACCAGTGTTGTTATTGTGCCACATTTTATTGCCTATAAGCCATGAACCCAGTGGTCTTGCTGAGATGAGCTCTTCAGCCAGCATGACTGTTTCAGTACTGCTGGGGCTGGCCCTGATTTACACCCAGAAATTTTGTTCAGAATTTTACGGGGAGAAAATAATTTGGAAGACCTTTGCTTACATCTGCCTATCAAGGAAAACGTAGAGCCAGTTGTATCAACACTTACACATGCATTTAAAGTATATGAGCAGCCCCCCACGTACCTCAATGGTCTTTGGATTAGAGCCATTATAGTTGCCAACCATGATTCTCCATTAAATGCACTGCTTTTCTTCTAGGGGCATTTATGTGGGTGTTTGTATAAAAACACTGTTATAAACTAAGAACACCAGTAAATATAAAATGGCAACATTCAGGTTCAAATGCAATGAACTAATTTATTTTTTTTTAACACTACATCCAACTGTTTTTCACCATTCACAGATGTCACTGGAACAACTTGAATACAAAAAATAGCCTAAGAACAATAAACTGCGCAGATCAGCTAATATTGATTGCTTAAAAAATACCCACTGCTAAACTAAATAATAGCCAAATCTCACTGCAGTAAATATACCTGTATATGACTAAATGCTAATATAACTGAAGTATGATAGCATAGTGGAAAACATGAAAATGGTGAAAATTAAATTGTTAGTTTTTGTGTGTATGTGTGTTTTTTTGTTTGTTTTCCCCATTATATGAGTCTCCAAAGCAACACCCCAAAGAAGAAACAAGCATTTCAGAGTAGCTGCCTACTTCTCTGCAGAGGCCCAAGCTGGGACTACCCCAATCTCTGTTACTTACTCTGCGAAGTGAACCGTGCTCCCGAGAAGGGAGGCTGGAGGACCCCTCACCACAGGCTCTGGCCCCCCTCAATGACCAGGTTGTGGCCCGTCATGTAGTCGGAGGCTTCAGAGGCCAAAAAGACGACGGCAGCCTGCAGGTCCGTCCCCCGAGCCAGCCTTCCCGCGGGGATGTCCGCCAGCCAGCGCTGCACCAGCGGCTGCAGGGCCTCGGAGCGGATGAGCGCCGTGTCCACGATGCCCCTGCAAAAAGCACACGTGGCACAGGTTTATGGATGGGTCTGACCAAGAGGAAAGGCAGAGCTCATGTGTTCGAGGTGTTAAATCAGAAGGAAAACTATGAAGTAGTTTAAGGAGAGCCGCAAGCTGCACCGCCTGTGCTTCTACTGAAAGTCATCACGAAAACTTCGGTAGCACTTCTTACCTACTGTCCTTCACAACTGCTGGGCAAGCCTAGAGGATTTATTTTAAACAGAGAACACACACACTGTCCTCTTGCCTAATCATGTTACCCTCTAACTTTCAGATTACTCATCGCAATCTCCAGATTTCCTATTTCCTATAGAAAACAAGCATGGCATTGGAAACAGAAGTGCCTCGAGTCAGCTCTGCTGCTACTTTTGGGAACTGCTGTCCTTTTTCTGATTTCACTTTTCAGAGCATAATGTTGCTTGGCATGTTTGTATACAGCCCAGAAACTGAAAACAGCCCGACTTTCCATACATCAAAAAACAAAAGCCAGCACCTTGCCCAGTCCCAAACTCTTTCCACACAGAAAAGGAGAGACACAGCACAGAGCAATTCCCCTTAAACAAACACTCCGACAAAGCACAACGCATTTACCTGTCCTGCCTGCCTTACATTAATAAGTGACTACACCATTCATTAAAACTCTGCTAAGTTCATTTTCTCCAGGTGCCCTAAAAATGAGTGATGCTCCGGAAAGCACAATGCAGGGCGAACATTTGGCTGGCTTTTATGACTTTAACTGCGACTGATTTGTCACACTCCTCCTTAACAACATATTTGTATTTTGTGAAATGTATAATTTTTTCAGCCCCTGAACAAATATATTTACATAACTGTGTCTAACGAGAAATTACATTTAACTTCTCAGAAATGACAATAACTAAAACCTGAACTGCCAATTCCACTTCATTAGTGTGGTAGAAATGCATTCCAAATGTTAATAAAAATTCCAACATGCTGATAAATTAGCGCTTCTAAGGAGCATGTGACACCTTGGTTAACATATTCAACCTCAATTATATTTCTCTTCAGCACCCTGTTATCTGGAACCTTTGCTGGCAATCAGAGGTGCTGTTTTTCAGCGGCCAATTTTCTAGATAATGTAGCTTATCAACACTGTGGGTAAACTTGCCAATGAAATCAGGCTGCACTGAACCACACACACGCTAATTGCATCTCTTTTTTATGCATATTTACAGACTGTCACTTCAAAGAAATCAGTGGCCCATTGAGGCAGCCAGTTAGCTGGAAGAATTGCCTCTTGCAAATGAAAATTAGCAAACAAGCTAGTGATAAATATGAAATGAACAAAGTATAAAAATACCCGTTTTGTTCTGAAACTTCATTGGCATCCCAATTTATACTTCCAAGGAAATAATTTTTTGAGACACACTGGATTCTGGGTATGAGATTTACCTTTTGTTTTAAATGAAGTCTGAAATCTTCTATTTACTCTGTTACAAAGTGGAACTAATTCAGACTTTCCCCCAAACGTTTCTGTTTTCACTAATCGGGCAGGATTTAAATATGAGCTTTATTTTTTATTATAATTGTCAATAAACACCAGAACAGTTCAGAAACACTGAGCAACACCGCTTGGTTAAGCTCTGGCACTGTAATAAAATCAAACACATTCCAGTATAGGGCTGCGGATAGTTCATTTATTTCCCCTAAGCACACTTCCAGGTCTCCCCCCTCACTCACCCAAACTCCTCGAGTACTGCTTTTCTTCAGAGAGAAACATGCTTTCAGCAGCAGATGTGGAATATGTTGCACTCCTTTCCCTTACGTGCCTCACTCTATGCTTACAAAATCATCAGCATAATCATTCTGGCTTTACACTATCAGAGATCAGAATAAAATCCTTATGTTTTTTATTATTTATAAATATTTTTTTAATTTATTAATATTTTTTAAAAGGGGATGCAGATTGGGAAATATGATGCACATTCCTCCTGCACAACAGATTTCACTAAAAAGAGGTTATTTTTCAACGTTTGGGAAAACCGTCCTTGTTCTCACTGTTACAACCTGAAAATCACAGGATTGCACCTCTTGTTTGACCTTTCCTTACGTTGACTTCAAGCAGCAAAAATTTTGATGTGTAACAAAACTTCATTAAAAATTTTTGTTACATAAATGAGAAAAAATATAGCACAAAACTTAAAGTTGCAAACACACATACTGATGGCACTATAAATATTAGGCATGTCATTGATACTACACATCTTCTGGGAAAGCTTTGGTGCCAAGTTGGGCAATTTAATGTTGTCGAACCCTTTTAGGCAGATTTTAGTTGGCTTCTAACCAGTTCCAGCAAAGACAACTGCCAATGCATTAATTCCCTACCTCATCTCGTATGCAGTGCTGAGCCTATCAGTACTTTCTGTTGCATGTCAATGTAATATCAAACTGCTGGTTCCTTAACATTAGACATGAGCATCAATATTTCATTATTGATACACAGGACAATTTGAGACGTTAAGGAAAAAAAAAAAAGGAAAAGAAACAATTGCCTAAAACATTTCCACTTCGAGAGACGCATTAGGAAAAATATCACTTACCAGATACTTAACTGGAATTGTTACGTGCGTTCAATCCCCAAATGAGAGCAAAAAAAGATTCCATCTGTGTGTAACTTGATTTCTTTCAGATGAGTTATTAATTTGAATGAGTTAAGTACACTCCACTTAATCAGGAAGTGTTTAATCAAGAGATCCACTTAATTGGGACATCTCCCAAGGAATTAGATTTAAGTCCAAAGATACTTACCAGCAAGGACTGCTGCTTAATGGGGATGGTAATGCTGCTTAATTGGGACGCCTTTAGGTGATGCTGGGGTGCTAGTTCTCCTGCCTTTCCTTCCCGTGATGGGGAGGACCCCAAACCCAGGGTGATCCTGCCCCACCTGCTTTATGACCCCTGGCTAAAAGCATTCAGTTCAGACAATTGCCACTGATTCAGCACGGTGGCTGCAAAATGAGGTGTTCCAGTGCTCCATGCCAAAAAACAGAGGTCTTCAAAAGTCCCCTGCTCCATCATACCCAACTCATGTAAAATGTCTGCAGGGACCGGGAAGGAGACTAAAGCACACACTGCGAGCAGCTGGGCACATTGCCTGTCGGTGCTGTAAAGCTCCCTGTTCACCCCTAGGTTCCCTCTGTGGCCCAGTCTCCATTTCCCTTTTGATAAGAGTCCAGCTCTTTTATTTTGCGTGGCACCAGCTCTGCAACAGGCTACAAGGCAATTGCAGTAGATGGTGGCAGAAAGGCTGAGCACAGAGATGCTTGCTCTGCCTGGAGCAATGGGCAATGTCAACCAAAGCATCCGAGGAGTCTCAGCCTCTTTCTCCTCGATGGACTTGAGACTTGCCTGGCCAGCAAGAAAAGGCTGGATCTTTGATTTTATAAATGCTATAAATTATGCTAAGGACTCTGCCGTAACATTTTATGCATTGATAACTTTTATGCATTGGTCTGCATAAGTTTTATGCACTCGTTAAGAAATTAAGTTGATAAAAAGTGACCAGATAGGAAGAAGGAAAAAAGGCCAAAAGGTTTGCATGGCGAAATTATGTTTAAGGCCAGCCTGGAGTGTCTGGAGTTTCAGACAGAGGTGAGCTGGGAATGCCTTAAAGCATTAAAGAAACCAAGTGTAGGAAGAACAAGGGACTTAGCGGCACAACTACTGATTTTACTTCTCTAGGGATTATCTGAGGTACCATTATGCTGAAGTGACCTGAAGATGCCACTGTGCCAGAGACAGAGGTATGACAACAAGTCTGGTGTGGTTCACAGGCCTGAGGATGGGTGCAAACCTGCTCTGAAACACAGGTTCTCACTTCATATAGGCAGAAGCACCTGCAGATTTTGTGTTTGGTGGGGAGGATCTGACCGATACAAACCATGCTGAATCATGACCCAAAGCTACCTGGCTGGACAGGGGACCTTAACCACAGCAGAAACCTTTGTCCTTTGTGTGCCACTCCTGGCTATTGCAATGCAAAGAAAAATCCCACTTCCTATTACAGGATTTTGACCTGAGAGTGAGAGTTTAAGACAGGTACAGGTGGTCAAATGCAACCTCATTTTGGCTTAAAAAAGTAGAGAAAGAAAAGCGAGACTCTTTTTTCCCCATGCACTGATGACTGCCTCCAAAAACATAACTTCTTCAAATACAAGTGTAGGTTTCTAATTTATACAAAGCAATGAGTTTTGATCATTTGGCGGATACTTTTTAAATTTATGTAAACCCCTTAAAAATGGGTAATTCCTCCTCTAAGAGCCTTCTCACTCATGATCACAGTGAATATGAAATACTATCCCATCTCTGTTGGTAAAGATTACCTGTGCATTTGCAGGCACAGTTTCTGCCAGGTCCTGCTGGGCTTCCCTAATTCCGTTCATCTCCCCTGGCTCCTAAAAGCCAGAGTAAATTCACCAGACCCAGTTGTGAGAACACTATTGCAGAGCTGTTAGCATTGGCATGGGGAAAATCCTATTAGGAAGTAAGACGCTGTTTAAAGAATCCATGGATCACATACAGTGAAGGCTGGAATCACTGCTATAATTAGTAATAAATAATCATAAGGAAGACAGCTAGCACAAGGAAGTGGAGAGCAAACCGACAGTAAAAACACAGGCACTTACCATTGAGCTCTGATTTTTTTTTTTATTCCACTTTGTGGATTAAAATATGTAATTTGTTTTTCCTAATTTGACGTACATTATATCTTCATTATTACAATTTAACTCCTGGGTTAAAATCCTGCCCTTCTTACTTACTCTGATTGACTTCAATGGTCTACAGAATTTGACCGCTTCCAATTAGCGCCATCCACTTGGGTTTCTGCTTAGCGCTATCATGCACTGTTAATTGTTTAATAAAATGACTGTGTTGGGCATGTGTGTGAGGAACAGGGAGAGAAAAAGTGGCAAGAAAACTTTGCTTTGGGAATAAATACCATAAAATAAAACATGCAGCTTTAAGCCTCCAAAAGTGAGGAAAATGTAATTTGTAATAAATATATATATATATATTTACAAAATTACACCTGGCCTCCTGTGACTGTCAGAGCTGAACGCTATCTCAATTACAGCACTACAATGTGGCTTTTAAAGTGCCTATATATTTGTCTCAAGTAAAAAGGGGAAAGAAGTATTGTCTATTAAGTGTCAAAAGCCTTTTCTTTAACCGCAGAAGGCTTGGACAGACTAAGGAAATATTTCATCTGGAAGAGAAACGCTAAAAACTACCCTTCACATTATTGGAAAACCTATTATCAAATGCTAAAACCTCTTCTTAAATCCCTGAGTATACACAGCAACAGAGCAGGCTTGGTTCTAAGTATTTAAACCTTTGTTAAGGAAAAGACAACATAAAAAGGGATGCAATCCACCTGCTAATTAGAAACTTTATTTTCCAAGATACTGCTCATTTGAGCTTTTTAGAACATTTCATTCTCTTTGTACTTTCAAAATGAGACTACATTTTACTTACGGGGAAATGCAGTTGACTTTTACTCCTCTGTCAATCCATTCAGTTCCTAACGTCTGTGTTAATTTTACGACCCCAGCTTTCGAGGCGTTGTACGCCAACTGCTTCTGTGGGTGCGGAACTGGAAGGGAGTCAGAAATAGGAAAATATTTATTCTCCGCAATTTAATACGTGCGGGGAAGTTTAAGCACTACGCTACTTCCCTGCATTGAGATGAACTATTTGCTGTTTTCCCTGATACAAGGTAGGGAGCAACAACAATTTAGCCACACCAAAAAACTCTAAATTTCTATTTAGCCACCTCGCATTTTTGCCTCAGCAGCTGGGGTACTGAAAGAAACGGAGAAAAAAATAAAATAAAATAAAATAGAAATATTAAAAAATATATATATATTTTAAATGTTCCCTATCTGGGCAAAGCTAAAAGCAAGATGTTAAACATACATATGCAAGTATTTGACTATTTCCAAGAAAAATAAATAATCATATATAATAATACATAACAGTGCATTGTTATATTATAACATAGCATATATAATATTTATATATTATACACATAGGTATATTTTATGTAAAATATTCATACATTGTAATACTAATATAAAATAATGCAATATAATATAATAGGTATGCATAATAGATTTTATATAACGTACTATATTATATATAGCTTCCTGGAACAAATTATTCTCCTTAATTTTTAAATTATCCATAGTCTGAAGCAAACACATCACATTATCTAATCGGTGTTTGTGTGGATGTGAGCCCAGGTGCGTCCCAAAAATTCCAAACACCCACCACTTTCAAAATCTGAAGCTTTTGAAAGTGTTTCAGAGATGTCACATGTCAGTCACAGAGGGAAAATGATCGGCTTGCTAATTACAATGTGCAGGCTTGCTAGCGCTGTGTGCTCGGGTGGCTCTGCCCCTCCGCGAGCTTTCAGGCTTGCAGTGCTCCCAGGAAAGCTACTTAAGGGCAAATCCCTGGTGGGTATAAAGTGCCTTAAACCTACCAGAGTCAACCCGAACCAGACTGGCTGTTGGGATTTACACCCACACCACCTCTCTCTCTGGACTTTTCTCTGACCTGGGTGCAGGCATGAACTCTCTAAGCAAATTTGGTGCAAAAAACAGATCTGTAATTAGCACCTGTGTTGGAACCAGACATCAATAAGGCACTTCTTGGAGGGACAGTGGGGAAAAAACAGTGCTGAACACCAGAAACCACAAGATGAGCAGTTGTAGTGTGTGTGGGAGGGGTGGCAGTGCACCCTGGGAGCCCCCCTAAGGTATAGCAGTAGGCATTGGGTTGGTCCCAACCTGTGAGGTTAAACTGGTGTGTCACTTCCAGACCAGCACTGTCCATGTTACCCCCATACAACCACAATTGCTCTCACTGTCTGAAACGATTGTTTTCAAGTGTGACAATCTGAAGGGTGTAACAAAGACTGTACCAAACTGAGTTAGCTCTGAAAGAGTGAAGAGCCCTGCTGTAAATTACTGAGCATGTGAATAAGAACCTGGACTTGAACAGAGACATCTGTGAATAGATGTGAAGAACATACAAAACTGGGGCAACAATAAATATCTATTTTTTTTTTTTTAATTTTTTTTTCTGCATGTGCTGAAAGTTTGCTCTGAATTAGGCCTTTTTAGAATTAGGCTGCAAAGAGCAGTTCACACACTGGCCCCCTCTGCCAGCATTTACCCGGTACTGATTTTTTGTTCCATACCAAACAATTCCCATTGCTACCAGCAGAACCATGTTGCCCTCTGCGTGTGCCTGCTGTCCCACAGACACAGCACTCTGTGGGGGCTCTCAAACAGGAGTGGAACCTAATTTCTTGATTAATTGCTGTGCATCAGCTCCAAGTTAGGTATGACTTTGGTAGTTAACCTCACAACCTCCCAATAGCAGTTCTTTGCTAAACTTTCCAAACACGTCTGTCTGTGATAAATCATTTGGCATTTGCTAAGAGGATAGCAGTTTTGGCACCTTCCTTGCACCTCCTGCCCATGTGGGTGAGAGCAGCACGTTGTTGGGAGGTATCAGAATCCATTTTCTGATTTGGGGTGGCTGCTCGAGTCGGGGGTTTTAAGAGTTTATCCATGTCAGTTCTTTGTCTTTGTACAAATGGCTAAGGAAGGTAACACAGAAGATGAAATATCCCCCTCTGGAGATTCTTGGATCAAGTACCACTGCCTTGCTGAGCACCTCCTCCTCCCTTCCCCAAGCTGCCCTTTTGGGTGCTCTATTAAAGACCAGCAAATCTTTAACTCTCCAAACCCATGCAAAACAGCTTGTGAGAAAGACATTCCTATAGCAGTGTCACCAAAAAAAAAAAAAAAAAGTTTGTAAGGCCTGTGTGAAGGGAGGACACTCACTCACTTGTGTTTCACATGGAGGAGACAGGAGGAAAGCAGATAAAAATGCTGCAAACATCAGCTGCATTACATTTTAAACACCTGACACAATGTTTTTGTGACCTTGTTCGGTGCATAAGGCTTCTAGCCTGACCTTGAAGCAGCAGCATAATGTTAATGAGAGGTGCACACAGAGAGAACAGACCACTTACTACAGATATTCGCTGTAAAAATTAGAGAGCGTGGTTACACCTGTACAAATGGCAGAGCCGCAGCAGCCTCGTCACTGCTGCTGAAGCATACGTCTGGAATAATTCCAGTCAAATACCAGAATCAAAATGCACATATGCAAAATGTATGCAGCCTATCTTCAATTAATTAAAATTGATTCTAAGCAGTGTTATCTGGAAAAAATCACAAACAAAAACCTCCCTATCCTGCTAAGACTCTACTTATTTTCCTCTATCTCTCAGGAAGGACTCAACCTACAAAAATAAAAAAAAAATATCCCCTAACTATTTCTAGAAACATTTCATACTATGCCAGTTGGCCAACATACTTAAATAACCAACCAACCAACATATTTATTTAACATTCAGCAGATGGACATGATATGAACATCGTGGTTTTCAGTTGTAGTTTTATAACTACTAGATTTTTTCCATGCCAAGACTCAAACAGGTTCAGAAGGTAAACACATCCCTTCGTCTCTTAACTTCTGGCCTACCCATGTCCACCCACACTAACTTTCAGTGATAAGTAAATGGAATTTGCAAAGTCCCTTCCAGGCTGCTCTCAGGATTGTACTTCATAGGGGTATAAAGTTTAACTCTGCAATCTTTTCAAAACTACTTTTGTTTGGGAGATTTTGTTACTCTACAAAGCTGGGGCGAAGGGATGGTGCCTGTGCTTAAGCATAAGTAAAACAGCTGCTAAAGACACTTGAAAAAAAATTAACAACAACATTATAAATGCATTTTTGAAGAAACATTTAAAGTTACTATGCAATAAACCTGAACAGAATGTCACAGAATGTCAAACTGGGCACAGTAAAAATAAATGTTATTCCCAAGGAAAATAAAAAGACTGCATATTTATGTAACATTCAGCAGATGGACATGATATTAATACAGGGGTTTTCAGTTGTACTTTTATAGCTACTAGATTTTCTTGCCTAACTTGGCAGCCCAAGGCACCATTTGATTTTTGGATTTGGACAATACTGCAACAGATGTCCAGACCAATAAAATAAATTCCTAAAGGGCTATGCTTAATTTGTGTAATTGATCAATTTTTGTTACATGGGCCTCAGTTCACCAGCATGTAACTGCCTTCCAGATTAGCTCAGCAGTAGGGATTTCATTCCATATGTTACAATGGTTTATTGGCGCTTTTGACGACACTGCTGATTCAGCAGCGTCGGTGGAGACACCTGTTGGCAACAATATTGAAATATAACCGCAGGTACTGGGGTGAAGAGCAGCACAAAAGTTTTTGGGTGGCTTCTAAACAACACTAGGGCACTGATTCCCACACTCAAATGCATTTTCCCAAAATTACTGGGGAGGGCAAGAGCATCTCTCCCATGCCATCAGTGCATCAGGCTCAGAGGTGACTCCGCCTCTTCTATAAAAAGTAATAAGTGCTCTAAAACATAGAGGACAGATAAATGTTGAAAAATGATATCAATAAAAATTTTGTAGTACATTTCCTCTAATACAAAATGTCAGTGATTTACTCCTTCCCAATACAGGTTTAATTGATTCAAATAGCATCGGTAGTAATTAAAATATGGATTCTGAAGCACAACTGTTAGCTCTCATCACTCACCTATTAAACTTGCCATAGATGCTGTGTTAATTATCTTCCCATATCCTTGATTCAGCATAATGCGGCCTGCAGCCTGTGACAGAAATTAAAGGAAAGACCAGTGACCCTTTTTGTGATTGTGCTAATAATGACATGATAATAAATTAGTCTTCACTTTTCAGAAGAGTTTATGTGCTAACACTTTTTTTTAAGCACTTGATATAAAAAATTGGTATAAAAATGGCTGATGCAGGAAAAATTCCATTGCCATTTCAGACCCTCCTTGCTTATGGCAATATTTTTAAAAAATCACTGATGTTAGGAATGGCCCCCCAAAGCCTTCTGCTTTTCAGGAAATGTCAAATAATCACCCTCCAAAAATGCCTGAGCTTGGACAGCTAGTAAGTTACCAGCTGCTTTTGAAAATATTGATCGAAGTCTTTAATTGACATAAAACCAATCTTTCAGTAACCTCATTGAAACTAACATCAATTTTGTTGTGAAAATTAGTTAAAAAAAAAAATTTAAAAAGTGTTACTTGTTAAAGTAAATATGAAAATCATTGCCCACTTGCAAAACAAACCTGTACAGCATTTCATACTCACTTGGCAGCACAAAAATAATCCTCGTAAATTAACATTAAAAGTTTTGTCCCATTCTTCCAGTGAAGTGTCTTCACTTGCAGAGTTCATATTGATTCCTGCATTGTTGCATGCAATGTCAACTGTGCCCCATCGAGCCACAATCGTATCAACAATCCTCTGCACATCCTTGGGTTTGCTTACATCTGCTGCAAGGGCAATGCTTTTAATCCCTAAATTAAAATAAGGGTGATGAAGTCAGTATGGGAATTCAGCAAGAAAATAATATATTTTTATCATTTATTCATTCACGTAGATATGCATGAGTAGTATACATATATGTATCGTGCCACCTTAATTCCCTGCTCCACAAACTGTAGCAAATTGTGTGTTATTGCAATATATATATATATATATTTTTTTTTTAAGTTGCTAACTGGTGCAAGGTTTGCTTGTTGGTAGCTCACATAAAACCGAGGTGTGAAAGCCGAGTTTGACACTCCAGCAGGACGAAGCTTTGAACACTGCACCATCTTCTGTCCAAACACTCAACTGCAGCTTTCCAGAGCGTGAGCAATTCCAGCGGTTCGCGGGTGCTGGGGACTGTAGAGCATCGCTTACTGATGGCTGGCAACAGCTCCGAAACAAGAAAAGCAAAGTATTCCTTCATTTGCTAAAATGCAGATGCTTTTTTTATGCCAGACATCAGGTACTACAGGAGGCAAACTAATTTTTCCCAAAAGTGTTGTCTAGATGAAGTACAAAACCAAGCCAGTTTTAGGCAGGAGCTAACTAGGAATACCTGCAGGTGCATGGGTGTGGTGGGCACGGATTCTGGCATTATTTGCTGAAAATCACACTGCCAGAGTAACACAAAGATTCAAAAGTGAAAAGATTTACCAGATCAGAAATATGAAAAAGTTGTGCTTTTTTTTTTTTCCTAGAAGAATATTGATGTTGACTATTGCTCCAGTGCTGAATTGTAATTAGCTTCATTTCATTTAATATCAAAATCAGCTTTAAATGCCCTTATTAACAAGCAAAAAGCAGTGTACCAAGGCACCTGAAGCCAATGGGATTAAATCCAACCTGAAAGTCAAACAAGGCTACACCTGTAAGCCCTGTGGTGAACTTTACAAGGAGGGGGCAGCTGCTGGAACTGGACCTTGGATGAGCAGTCTGCAAGCAAACACAGCATGGCATGGCATGTTCTCGACTGGACTGGACAAAGATTGTGTGTTATAAGAAGGTCTCCCTAGAAAGGGAGAGGGAAAGAGTGATTTTTATTACAGAGGGGAAGGGCTGCCTCACCATATGCAGTGCTGATTGTGACTATTTGATCGATACCATACCCATAGTCCAGTCTCTGAGCTGTATCTAAACTCCCAGCTGACACTTCACCTGGTACTGACCTTGTGAGAACTCTCAGAAAGCTGTTAACAAAGGACTGTGGACGCTGCTGCACCATCCCCTTGCACAACTAGGGTGGAAGTGGATGCACCTTCTCAAAAAACACACTTAAACCTTTCCTAGGAGAATAGAAGGCTCCCAAATCGAGTCTTGAGATGGAGACTTTTGGAAAAGCAAGGCAAAACAATAAAAGTTCAGTGATGATCTCCCCTCGCGTTCCATGGAGGAGAAAAGGGCAGACCCACAAGGCAGCCACCTATGAAAATGAATGCACGTTCTGCCACAGAACAAGCCCTCTTGTTTTATCGCAGGATTTATGCTAAATATGCAGAAAGAATAAGAATAGGCAGACAGCCCCCATTGCTCCTTCTAATTGTTATTGAGACATGCAACATACTCGGAGCTGCTGCAATCTTTCTTATTCTCTTTACAGACAAAATGGGTACAAGCGTGTAACTAATGGTAACAGAATGAGGCTCTTCACCTGCCCTCCAACTCTCACCCCATCTGTGGCGTCATCGTATATGATAGTTCATAAAAACAGGACAAAAGGTGCCACATGTGAGTGTCTAGAGAAGAAGCAGTGAAGGCACGCTCACTTCAAAACAGAGTCCCACACTTGACCTTAATCAATTCAGCTGGTATCTCTGCACTCTGAGAGAGGGAAAATAAGTCCCTTTCTCTCTGCTGTCCCCCCGGGCCATCTGTTAAAATTAATTAATTAATTATATAAACTACGGGAAAATAGCTTTAAATTTGTAGAACTAACCAGAAGTAAGAAACGCAAGGCAGGACCCTGCTGCTATATGCATGACAGTACCCACGTACCTCTTCAGGCTTCAGTTTGTTTTTGTGATGCAGGTGGAGGTAGTGCTGGAACGAAAGGGGCAGGAGAGGCACTCCATGGGTCAGTGATGGAGAGGCATCAATGTGCCAAATCTCTCTGAGCTGCCCCTCTGGAGGTGATATGTGCATGCAGCCCCATTGCCATGGGGCTCCGTCTGTGGTCTCTCGGTATAAATGGAAGTAAAACATTGCATATATACAAGAAGATCAGAAGTGACATTGTGGGGAAGGCATTTGCATAGTTTACAGTGAAAATGCACATTTTAAAAATCCCATCAGACTAATTCTTCCCTTAAGGTAGAGGCAGTCATTCCCCCTGAAGACAGATGGGTATGTAGTGGAAGGTAACCCTTAGGATTTTTTGGTTACGTTTCATCATTTTTGGTTCTTCTGTCAGGATCCATTAGCAACTGTTGAAAAAGGTATTCACTCAGGATGTAAAAACAAAGACCCCTGTAGCCAAGGGAGATAATCCCGAGCTGTCTAACAAAGCTAAAACTGAGATCACAGGGTTTCTGATGTTTAAAACCCATCATGAAGTGATGGCACCTTCCCAGAAGACAGCAAAGGGCTCCTTGGTATAAGAAGCAAAGTGGGTTTAAGAAAACTAAGTAAAGTGTTTTAAAGGAATATCAGTATGGGAATGACTTGGGGCACTGTGTTTCCAGCTTGGAGTAAGAGATCCACAACCAGAGAGGGGGGAAAAAAATCACAGCTCCTTTGTGCTTATTATAGCAGGAAAAATATGTATTAATACTACAATGATTGCTTTAATTTACTCATGTGAATTTTGTGAGAGTAAAGCTAGCTGAACCTTTTTGTCAAAATTTATTTCCAACAGAGTATGTTACTTCTTTGAAGCCAAAATGTTTCATGGAAACATATTGATTTCAACAGAAGTTTTCAAGGGAAAGCTTTGAGGTCCAGGCTAGACTCTCTAGTTACCTCTGGAGAGAAAGAGATTGAAAATCTGACCTTTTCAGATCCTTTCCAAAAATGGGCATTTGGATATAATTCCCTTTCACAAAAGCATTACAAAGTTTGGGTTTTGTTCCAACAAGGAATGACAATAAATTTGAAACCTCAAAAACTGTCATGAGATGGAATAGATGTGCCCTGAGCAGCTGCACTGGTCAAGTCGACAAAATATTTGACCTCGAAGGATAAAGATGTGTAAAGACTGAGAAGTGAGATTTTCTTTACTTTAGACTGCAATAATATTTGCAATGCCTCGTGACCCCTCTGACTGCATTTTGTAACCCCACCACCACTGCTGCCTTCTGTGGGCTTGCAACCCACCAGTGAAGGAGCAGAGAGGTAGGACAGCCATTGCAGCATGGATGATCAAACTCCTACTGAAAACGCCCTGGAGAAAAGTTAAGTTCATTTTCAAACAGACCACTGGCTTCCAAATTCTCATGGCTCTATCAAGTATCCCATTTCTTTCTGAATAGCTCTACTTGATATGCAGGATCTAACTGTAAAAAAATATCCAAAAGGCAAGTTAAGTTGTAGGGCACAGCTATTGTGTGCCAAGACCATATGGCTTCAGTGCATAAGAAAATGAAAAGCTTCAGGGAAAGAGGTACTGGATGACTCAAGAATTTGTAATAGGAGCTGGAGACTCTCTTTTCTGGGTCATTATTAGGGATCAGACCAGCAATCAGAGCTTTAACCACTGCACTGATACTCAGTGTAACGTGTCTTATGCTTACCAGAGCTGGCAGCGTACAGACTGGGACTTTTTGTTTAATATATACTCTGCAGAGGCTCAGGGTGGTACAAAACCAGGAATGAACCATTCCTTGCCCCTTCCCCAGAAAGCTGTTAGAGGCAGAACGATGGAAATACGGATGAAATACACTTGCAGGGGCTGGTTCTGCTGGAGAATATGGTTTCCGATGGTCCAAAGCACTTTGCACAAATATGTTTCAGTTTATGAGAGAAGTTTTACATTGGCTAAAGCAGAATGGAGACTCCAGGTTTCAGTGGGCAGATCATCCAGTGGTGATCAATCCCTTCCTGAAACCAGAGTGGACATAAGTTCTGGTGTCTGGATCCATATGGGACTATGAACATTTCCTCGGTACAGCTCCATCCTTAGAGGCAACGAAGTACTGAACTTTGAAGAAGGGTTGGTTGTAATATCACAAAAGGAATTATAAAATGAGTAACACTTCCTTTCTTTTCTCATTAAAATTATATTTCCAGTTTTCTTTCTCCTCTTTACAATTGCAGTTTAGCGTGACTCTAGGGGGAAATTCAATTTTATGTTACTTTTCGTGTTTTTACTGCTAAAATAGAAGTGGCTTGCAGAGGATTTTACCTCTTATTTGGGATTTTAGCTATTATGTCTACTAGTGGTTTGTTCCTATATTTGACCTCATATGCATGTTTGAAAGAACTGCGGAGGGAGGTTTTCAAAAAGGACTGCCTCAACTTGAGGGCACACGAAGAGGCTAATGCTGACAGTAACTTTATCCTGTCCTTCCACCGTGGTTAGGCTCGTGCTTACCTTTGAGGCTGAGCTCATGTGCCACTGCTTCTGCCTTCTCAAGGACCAGGTCCACAACAGCTACTTTGGCACCAGCTTCCCCCAGAGCATGAGCAAAGGCTCTCCCAATTCCCTGCCCTCCGCCGGTGACGTAGGCCACCTTGTCATCCAGGCGCAGCCGGTCAAGGATGCGGCGCTTGTTATAACCCCAGAAGATGTCATCCCTCACCACTTCTTTCTAAAACAAAGACAGACACACATTTCACAGCAAGGAGCAAAGCTGTAGCAGAACAGCTCTGACAGGCTCTGCCTGTAAGGATGAGGTTGGAGCATGCACAGGGATCCATGTCTTCTTGACCTATTATTTAATGCAAAAACACAATTCAAGCCAAAACGCGTCCTTATCTCCACTGATACTAGTCTGAACAGGAGCACTAAGAAATGGAGCAGGAGGGCTATGGTCTGGGGAGATGCACCAACCACTCCAGGTACATCAGAGAAGGGTGCAGTACTTTCTGACCTGGCTTCCCATGGGAGATGGGTGAGATAGGTGAGGTACGGCCTCTCAGAAGATAACTGGTTAAGTCTTCCAGCTATTTCACCCCCAGGGCCAAATCCTGCCCTCAGATTCAGCTGGCTCCAGGATGAAGGAGGCTAAGAGAAGTTTCCAAAGGCAGGATTTGGCTCAAGTGGAGTGCAGTCAAAATATCTTCACAAGGCTGGTGCGCAAATAAAGATATCAGCCAATAACTTAAACCAAGCTGTCATCTGATCAGCTGCCATACATCATTTCCCCCTGACTGGAATTAAAATGGAAAATACAAGATGTTTAAAATACTGGATTTGAAATGCCAGGAATTACCAGTGGATGTAGATTTGGGAGCTCTCAAACTGCAAAACAATCAAGACATTTGAGTCTGGCTTTACAGAACTGGGCCATTACAATTCCAGGTCGGAATTTTGTTACAGCAGGATGATGCCCATTACATACAGAGTTTCTACAGAAAAGATAAAATCACCATCTTTTCCCCAAGAGAGGATAAATCTAAGGCCATGAAAATAGAGCATAGGAGGGCATCATGAGCTGCCTTTGGACAAAAACGCTACTTCAGAAACACCACGTTGCCTTGTATTGGCCCCAGCTGCATCTGCCCACACTCCCCTGCAATGGAAAGGACCAGAGAGCAGCAGGCAAGCAGCACACACGGTTAGCACAGCATCAGAGTGGCTGCCTCAACAGACTTTTCTAGGGATAGGTGTTTCATAGCTTTAGTGTAGCCCTGCACTAGTGCAGCTAGCCTGTGTCACACTCTAAACCAGTAACTCTGTGCTGCATGACACTAAAGGCATGGCAGAGCATGAGTTTGGGTCCTCATCACCAAAACCTGAACATGGTTTTCTACTTCATTGTCATCTGCAGAGCCAATTTTTTTCCCAGAGATATTCACAAAGAGCAAATACACACCTTTGTTTCAATCACTGCATCTGGAGGTGCAGGGCTCCTTCGAATGACGCTCAGTCCATTTTGCACAGGTAAAATTATCTGCAAACATAATGCACACACACAGTTATCAACCACTTTGTACTTCACCCAAATTCCACTGACATTAAGGAGAGACCTTCCTTCCTCAGGCCATGGTAGTTTTTCTCCTGCTCCTATTCTTTAGCTGAAATTCCTTCCAACCCAAATATGTCAGGCATCCATATTTGCTCACATTCTTCTTCCAAATTCCTGGCTTCCACAAATGCCAGGAAAAAAATGCAATTTTGTCTCTCCATTTTCTAAATCAGTGCCAGCTGCTGAGGTTTCTGGGTTTCCACTGCCACTATCTGCTGTCAGGCAGATATTCTAGTCTCATTCTTGGAGCCCAGCAAACCATAACAGCTACACTTTGGTGTTCCTTAGCACTCTCTGGAATGCCTTTCCCGCACCTATAGGTGAATTTCAGTGGGTTTTGTCACCTGCCTCTTGATACCATTATCACACTTCAGTGAAAGATGCACTCAGTGCTGGAGGTTCAATGCCAATGTCAAACCATTAAAATATTAGATACGGAAACAATGGGCTATTTACATGCATTAAATAGCTGACAGTAACATTCAGGGCATGGAAAGTCTTTGTCAGTCTTTCCCTCTTCTGAAAAAAAAAAAAAAAAAGTTGTTGCTCTTGGTACTGACAGCTGTGTTGAGGATAGGGTAAATGGAGCACAGGGGATGCCTCCAGAGGCTGTCTGACCTGCAGCTGGACAAGGACCTTGAGCCTATGAGGCACATAGCAAAAATCCCCTGGGCACAATTCCCAAGCCCCTGTGCCATATCCTAAGAGGGTGGGGGCAGACCTCAGCTGTCCCAGTGTGGGACTGGCCCAGTGGCACAGGCAGGCAGGGATCCGGCCATCCTTGCTGGCTCCCTCCCAGCCACAGCAGACCCTCTGCCAGCCCAATGCAGCTGGCACAGGAGAGCAAGTTTTTCAGGCAAAGCCTTGTCTAATTGTCTGATTTCATCTTGAAAACCACAGCATATTGTTTATGCATCCTACTGCAAGATCTCTGTCTCCTGCTGGAGTAGGACTTCGCTGACTCTTGTTGTGCTGGTGGTGCCCTACAGCCCCCAAAGGCTTATAGCAGTGGCGGTTCCTCGGTTGTGCCGTGGAGCTGATTATTCACACCTAAGTGCTCCACTTTTATCTCGCCTTTAACACCGTTGATGATGTAGACAGAGTGTAGGGACCTTTGCTGAACACAGAAGCTCACATGGAGAGATCAAGTAAGGTGAATTATAATACAGCTTGAGTTCTTTTTAGGTCCCTTGGATAATAGCACCAACAAAAGAAACATTTCGAAGAGCACGTTGCAAAACCCATAGATACGGTAGCACAGGCACCTTAACCAATGGCATTGCACTAACCTGCTCAACACGAGGATCTGAATTAATCATTGTGTTTAATTTTCTGACAGCTAGTACATTTTCCTCAGATATGTTCTCCAGGTAGACTTGTCCTTTCATGAGTGTATTCTCTACACAGATCACTCCATCCATTCTCAGCAAGTGGTTATCCATGACAAAGCTGTAGTAGTTAACAGCACTCCTTTGATCAGCATCAATAAAGACCATATCAAAGTGCTCATCCTCAGCATGTAATGCCTGGGAAAAAATGATATTGGAGAAAACACTAATTATTTACCTGCAGTTTGAAAGCCCTGCCATTAAAATGTCCTTTATATAAGAACTCGAATCAGACGAACCCTGCTCTTTTAAAATAGCATAGCTAGAATTACTTCTGGAGATGTTGAGAGTTTTCCATGCTTCGCAAACAATTCTTCAGCAACCCTGGTGCCCAAACCTCTGAACCTCTCAGAGACAATCAGGATACAAAAGAGGACTGCTCATCACAGCTTGCGGTGCTGGGAGGCACAGCAGCAACACCTGCACATCCAGAGTCAAAGGGGATCGAGCCATCAAGGCAAGGGAGAGGGACTCACATCAAACCCTGCGGCAGCAGAACTGCTGCAATGAGCTCTCTCTTCTCAAAGGAGTAACTATCAACAAACCAAAGAGTGGCAATTGTAACAGCCTTTGGGGAAAAGAGGCAGAAGGCTGATCCTGGGAATTGCAGACTGGCAAAGCCCACTTCAGTAGCAGGCGAATGGTTGAAATCCCAATTAATAATAGAATTATAAAGCACATAAAAGAACGGGTCACGATAGAGATAAAGCGGCACAGCTCCTGTGAAGGAAAATTATGTTTCTTTAATCTAAAAAAATGCTTTGGATGGCTCAGCAACAGCGGATAAAAGAGAACTGGCTGCTATCATCTAATTGGATTTTCAGAAATGTGGCACACCTTCCCTCCAAGCAGGCTGCTGATGATAATGTATAAAAGTGTTGATGGATGACCAGATGGGAGCCTTTACAGCCTTCTCCTGTGGCAGTTAATGCACTCGCTGCCCAAGAGGCTGCTATGGAATATTTCAGATTCCATCTGGGACTATTTAACTGCATCTGTGTGCGTTGCAATGAAACAACGGCTCATCCACCTATCTCAGGCAAGCATAAATGCTTTCAAGTCTTGGCATTTCAAGTGAAAAGAGAAACAATTATGTTTTCCAGAACTCACTGTTTCTACCACAACTTTTAACAGCACTTCTTGCGTCCAGATTTCCCTTTTGTGTTTGGAGACATTGTGCACAATGAGTGATGAGCGATCCCCTGAGATGTACGAGAGAAAGCATCAATAACAAATGGCAACGGAATATATGAAAAACTAATTTGCTTTCAGGAGTGAGGTTGATGGCTCCCAAACAGAGATTTCAGGAGCCTTTCTGAAGCAGAGAGCACATCATTCAGATGAGGAAATAGCAGGAATTGGATCAGTCAAGCTGTGAGTTATTCTATTGTGCAAACTGGTGTCATTGTGGGCTTGCTGGTGGTTAAGAAATTAAGCCTGCCTGAGATCCTGGATAGACACGCTTAACTGCAGATGCTTGATAGCACAGAAGCTCTGCCAAGAGCATTCATGAGTCCATATTTAGGACAATTTTTTGCTGCAACAGTATGTTGAAAGAATGCTTTAAGGCCATATATACGCTGGTTTATAATAAATGTAGCAAAAGCTGGGACACCTGATTTCCTAGGATTCATCTTTTCTTTTCATCTCATGACTGGTAAGAACATTTTACCCTGGTTCCTTCTTGAGCTGTGCCGGCAGAAAGCAGCAGGAACATTGTTGCTGCTGCGGAAGAGCATCTTATACCAAGTTGCTGCAATTCATCCAGTCTGCCCCATGTAGCTACTTCAGGAAGGGTCAGAAGATGGATGTGAGGAGGAGGAGTCCATCAGGAAGAGAGATTAGAGGTCTCATTCTCCAGAGAGAAGAAACAAAGCCAAATCCAAGCAATTACCATGACTTATCACTACTTTCTGACTTGTAACCTTCCTGGGCGGAGGAGATAGGGGGCAGATATTCAGAAGCAGATGTGGCCATCTCTGAACATATGTTCCTACTGCTCTGTGGTATGGCTCCCTAATGAAAAAGAATCTCGCTTTTATGCATCAACTTCATTAGGTCCATATGGAGTTGTGCAGCTCTTTGGATATTATTAGTTGGACTTCTCGTTTCAGCCCTCTTTCCATACCATCTACCTGCTGACAGCTTATCTCCTTCTTATCTAACTTCTGATACAGATAAACCAGCTTTCAGCTTCCCAGCTTTCAGCCCAGGAGGGTGCCTGTGCTCTGTGTGCACCCAGCACAAACCTGTGCTGTCCTTGCACTGCCTGAGTGTGCAAGGGCACCTTCTCTTTGGCCAGTCACTCAAGATAGGAATGGCCAGCCAAGAGGGTCACTTGGGCACCTCTCATTCCTCTGGGTCAAGCCCTTTGAAGGCTCCTACCCTGCTTACTTCCCTTGTGCTTTGCAGAGCTTCACAAGACATTGCTAGGAGCTGTGATAGTCTAGGGGTGGGCTTCAGGTGCCTAGATGTAGGCAAATACATCAGTTTTAGCTCCCCACAGATCCTGTTTCATATCCCCCAGCTGCATGTCTTAGGGGGAGCTGAAGCAGTACCAGGCACCTGCACGGAGTGCCTGAATCACTCCCTTGGAGTCCATACTGCCATCATTCGAGCTGCGTGTTTCCACAGGAGGCATGCCTCATTGCCTGCACCCTCTGCTGCACCAAGGAAAAGAGTGAAAAAAGGGAAGAAGCCGCCCCACTGATAGCTCTGGCTGAAGAGTTCAGTGCTGGAAATATCAGCAGAGATGATCAGAGAGCAGGAGAGCTCACTGCCATCCCTCTAAGAAATGGATGAGGGGGTTTACAAGGGACTTGCCACCCTCTTCTTCCCTGTGTGACTGAGCAGGCTGGGCCTGGCCCTACCTGGGACCCCACAGCACGTTAGAGACGCCTGTCCTTTGCTAGGAGACAGGCAGAGCCCAAAGGTCTCCAACTGCGAGGAAAGCTGAGATCCAGAAGGAAATAATCTGCCTGCAAAATATCCTGCTGAAACTAATTTCCTGAATGTTTACAGTGCAGTCCCTGCTCCTTGCTACAGAGGCATCATAGGCAGTAACAGATGGCAATGAGAAGTTCTTAACGCAGAGCAAACTTGGCTAAAATTAATGCTTTTGCTTTCAGTGAGTCATTAATATCCTTTTTGGTTGGAAAAAAAAAACAACATCAACAACAAAACAACCTTGTAGCACTGCATTGCACAGCAGAGATGCCCCAAAAGCAAGCACGAGGAGGACACAGCAACGCTGCTGATGGTTACGGCAAAAGACCAGGGAGAGGACATCCTGAATAAAAACATGAATGAATCTTCTGCCAACACTCAAAGAAAACCTGACTGCAGTCCTGATCGGAGGCAACACTCTCTCATAAGGCATATACAAACTCAATCAGGAAAAAAAAAATGACTGTCCAGTTTCTTTGAAATGGATCATGCAGTCAGCGTATTTGTAATAAAGATGTACTCAGAACTTATTACCTTCCCTATGCCTTGTTCTTGACCTAAATGTAATAGCAATCCATCCTTGGGGTACACAGAATACATGAAAAAGTACAGCTTCCTCTTAAAACACCATTAGAATATTTTACTGTATGTGGACATACACTCTTGTTACTCCTAAACGCTATTCTATTGAGTACAGTTTATATTCACCGGCAAAGCTAAATCTCTAGGGAAGCTAGAGAGGGAATGCAATTTCTAGTAATAACAGCTCACAACAGTGAATACTATCCACTTATCCCCACAATTTCCAGCTATTTTGGACTCCTTTCTGAATTAACCTTTCATATCAAAAGGAGCAATTCTGCACACTAGAGACTCCGACACAATTTCATGCATAATTTATTCACTCAGTTCAACATTAAACGCAGAGTCCTTGACTTTGTCAAGGTGGATTCTGTTGGCAGACTTCACAAGCAGCAAAACAGGAGAAATGAGATCTGCAGCTCAACCTCTTCACCTATTCTGTCTGGTAAAAGGAGGGAAAAAAGAAAAAAGAAACCCCCGGCATGCTTACACAATGACCTGCAATCAGCAGAATCCGCTGCAAACACAGTGTTATTTTTTGCGTTGTGTTTTTGATTTTAAAATGGAAGGATCGAAATCACGGATGGGAATAATTTCCTGGTAGTTTACATTCCCTGTGGTCTCAGGCCTGCATCCATTGTTCAAAGTCCTCTGGGAATTAGTGGAAGCACTCGGTGCAGGATCAGGCCTGTTGCTAACAGCTGGTGCAGGGCAAGGCGGGTTACTCAGGCACGGCACAACAGACTTCAGATTTAAGGAGTTGGTTTGGAAAGGATTTTAAATGCTGTGGCCCGGCACACATTCAAAAGGTAGCTAATGCCCACTGAAACCACCTGCATCAGAGTCTGAACCCAAGGCTCCCCTCAACTCTGTATTTCAAAAGATGATGTCAAGATAACAGCGGTCTTTGGGCACAGAGACACGTGCCATGGAGCACATGAGCTACATCCTTTGGCAGGGGCCTCTCTTAGCTTCTGCAGTGCCTCCCCTCCCACTCAGGAAAGGTGTTTTTTCCATCATGTCCTCAGGTACCAAACAAACCCCACTCTGTAGCTGAGCTCTGCAGCTCCTCCCTGGTATTTGGCTTCCTTTGGCAGCCCAAAATCCCAGATGTTTTGCAGCTGGCTCTGATCTGGGACAAGAGACAGGGAAATTGGCCAGCCCTGCACATTAATGCAGAGGAGCTGTGAGAGGCTTCAGAAACCCTGGTCCGGGTGCACCTGTGGCCTGCTCGCACTGCTCTTCCCTAACTCACTGCCCTGAAGATCCACAGTGCTGGGTGGAGGAGCCAGAGCCACACGGGTGCCACAATGACCCCACTGCCTGAAGCACAATTTTGTGCCTTAAAATCACCAGTGTGACAAGGCAAATACTCTGCTCCCACAAGCTTGTGCTGTTGCAAATATTTGAGGAGAAGCAGATAATCTCACTGTGCTCTTCAGCAACTCTTACCCGTCTCTGCTGTGGACCAGGTTCCTTGCAGACAACGAGGGACAGAAACGTGGTTATTTTCCACCTCCTTCATGTAGTTGAGCTGCAAGAGCTCAGCTGTGCTAGCCCCAGCCCATCTCCCACCTGACAGACTCATCCCCCTGCATTTCAGCATGCCCACTTGGAAACGGAGGAAGCCTCCTGGGTCTCCAACCTGAGCTGGTCTCCTCGAGGAGGGAAAAGGCAGTGCACTTGTTCACAGCCTGAGCTTCTTCCATGTGCTCCCATATGGCTGTCCCTGCACCAGCTGGGCAAACCCCAGTGACCCCAGCGTGCCAGGGCACCAAATGTGTCCCTTCCTCATTTACAGTCATTGTGACCAGAGAGCCAGAGGCCCAGTAGGACAGTCCTGAGTGTCCTGATACCAGTGACAAAATACCAGTCAGGTTGAGCAACACAGATCAGAGGCCAGTGCAGAAATCCTGCCACAGAGACCCACCCCCAGCACAGGCGTCTCACCCACCAGACACGAACACCTTCGTTCCCTTCAGCTCCAAGAGCTATTCCAAGCCCTGAGTACCTGTAGAACTGGGGTCAGGATGTGCCTTCACTTTGCAATCCGAGGATATAAAATCAATTGCGACATTCTGTGTTAAGGATTTAATTTTCACGTCTTTGCTCCCTTCTTTAATCTCTACACAGCATGTACTCTGTCTGCCTCTAGATATTTTAATTCAGTCACAGTAAGTCAGTTGCACAGAATGGGCACTAGAGAGCAACAGCAATTCAATTAATTTCACACTCACTGCAGGGAGCTGGGATTTTAAATGCTGCACATTGCAGGTGATCTGTAACGTTTCGTTTATTCATATACTTGGCACAGCTCTTTGTTTCTTTCTTACCAAACTTGGAGGTCATGGAAGCCAGAGTTTAGAAAGCTCCTGGCCATTTCATTTTAGAAACAAATATGGTAGCTGTTAATGCAAACAAAATTACTATCAAGCTCACACTGACACTTCCAGATTGAAGATGGAATTGGGTCAAATTGGTATGCATTAATAATAGACAGATTATGCATTTAATGAACCTGGTGTGGGCACCTCCTCTTAGCATGCTGGACCTGCAGCAGTATCATGGAGAGCCATAAACCAGAATTAAACATGAAACTCCTCTAGCTGCTGGCAACCATAAGCTTCTCTTGTTCTTGGGACAAAATCTCTGGTCAGAATGAAACAAATTTAGCTGACGTGTTTGCACATCTGAAGCTGATCCCATTGCTCTGGAAGTCAAAAGCCTAGGGTCTAATTTCCCGCAGTATTGCCAATGGGGCAAAACAGTGCCAGGCTGTGGGTGAACTGCAGACTTCTGCAGAGCTTTTCCAATTCTTGTGAACCTTGGGAGCAATCTGTCCTTCCCAGGGCAGGCCCTGCATGGCACAGATACACCCAGCCAGCTCATTATGTTTGGAATTAGAGACCCTAATCCAAAAACTCCCCAAGCCAAGTAAAACTCTGCCTTTAAAGTGTACCAACCTAAATTTAGAGCTCATGAGTCCTCTGATAAAAAAGCTTCAGTATTTTAGTTAAGAAGGAAAATAGCTGTTTTGTGTGACAGAGCTGTCCCATCACACATTATCATGAACAAGAAATAACTACTGTACAAGAGTGTGTTCACATATTTGCGAGCAAACTAGGGTCACCATCCAGCATTTTGTGGGCAGGAAATATGACAGACTCTGTCTGCCCAAAACTCTTTAATCTGCTCTGCACAAGAGCTCCCAGACTCCCCTTCCAAGTGACTTTACCTCCAAAGTGTCTGCTATCGGTCCCACTCGCATGCTTATCTTTTTGCCATCTGAAGAATAATCAAATGCTTCTTGGCTGTTCACTCCGAGATACGGCACTTCTGCACATGCAAAGATTTTGCCATCATCTGGCAATTCTTCTGCGATAGCAAGGATACTGTAACCTTTAAGCTTGCCAATTAATAAAATCTTCCTGGCTCTGATCATATGAATAAACATCTTAAAAATTTGGCCTGTTAAAAGACAAAAATGAAAATTTAAAAATAAAATCGTAAGAAAGACTGTACTTTGTTCACAATGAAAATTAGATGTACCTTTTAAGTGATCATTAAAAAAAAAAATCACACCTTAAAACACTTTCATATAAGGGTTTAACAACAGAATCTGACAAAATTTCATCTAAAATCCAGCTAAAAGACAACAGAATAGAGGGACTGGTTTGAAATGTAGAACCTTTATCATCAATGCTGCTATTGTTCAAGTGCTTGTTAAATAGTGCTTGAAATATTGCATATTTTAACATTCCCCCCATATGAAAATGGCTTTAAGATGTCTCCATATTCTTTCTGGAACCTGGTTTAAAAAAATCACTACATTACCTTGCATTTGCTCTTAGAGTCATTATCCCTAGACAGCACCATCATTTAAGAAATTTATCATCAGTGGTGTCCTTCGAACAATGTATTAGTGTAATACATTATAAGAGTACTTCACTGCGATGATATATTACTCAAAAGATGGGAACATCTGGGAAGAATGAATCTAGGAATAGATTTAGTATAATAAGCTTTATATTGGAATCCAGGGCTAAGTATTCAAGTACTCAAAAAGGCACAGCGCTCGGCCACAGACCACCTCCATTGCTAAAGCACGTAACCCCTACCAGGCAGCACCAAACTGAAACCAACAGTTTCCCCCTTCCTGCAGTGAAGACAAGGATTTCGTTGCTGCTCTGTAAGGGATGGGGCCAGTACCGTGAATTAGAGAGACAAAGAGCACAAAGCACACACAGCCATGTGCATGGGCACAAAGGCATGGGAAGGAAAGTACAAAAATTCATGCAAAATGAGAATTCATGCAAGAAGATCCCATCCCGCTTTTAAAAATAATTTTCCACATCTTCTGAGCATTTCCATAGCATCCATCCTATCCCCACTCAGATGGACCAGCATATGATGGACTTCATTTAGAACAATCAGATGCAATTTTATCATTTTGTTTGAGCAACTTGCCATTCAAACAGCTAGAAGTGTGCTCTTGCTGCAGCCCAACTCCAGTTTTGGCTCCTCCAGCATCTCCTGAGTCATGGCCAGGTGCCATTTTTCTGGAAAAAGGAAGAAATTTCAACATTAGAGTAACAACCAATATCTGAATATCTCACAGAAAAAAACAGCAACAAAGAGGAAACTCCTGGAAAAAGTATCCCCATGCACAAGCATGAAAAATCAACCCAGAGGCATCACAAATATCACTGAATTACAATCCTAGGAGCCCCTGGATTCGCAATAAGCAAAAGTAGCCTGGCCATGGCCCCCAGATCCTGAGCCCATTTCAATACTGGCAAATGCAGCAGCCATAAGGGCTTGGCAAGAAGAGGCTGTGGGGTCAAGGACGAGTGTTCCCCACTGTTCACACACAAATCTTTCCCATTTCCAGTTGGTCCAAAGCAGGAGTCCATTTGCTGTTTCAGAGTAAACAGCTCCAGCTTCCCTGGCTGTTTTTTGTTTGGTTTTGTGTGTGTTTTTTTTCCAACAACAACAACAAAAAAAGTGTTCATTGCAGAATGGGGCTAGAGATGAAAAATCTTGAATTTTCTGCAAGACAAAAATAAAAAACCTCTTTTCCTCCCAAACTGCCAAGAAAAGCATGGTACCTCCAGATGCTATTTCACAGCACCCAAGCCTGAGACAAGTCTGGCTGAAGTGAGATACTGCTTATTACAGGGGGAAATAAATAGATGACTGGAAGAAGTCCATAGCCCCCAGACAGATTAGATCACCGTATCCGAGGAAAGTAACCACCAGAAATGGCTGGTGATAGTTCTGCGGGCCAGAATTTAGAGTCATTTGAGCTTTTTTTTTCCTCTCCCTCTTCTCCCCCCACCACTCACCAGTAAAATGAGAAAGAATTCATAACCCGTGTCAGCCACACTCAGATAATCCAAGACTTAAAGAGTAGAACATTTCATATAACCTCTTTTCTGCCCCTCACAAATGCTTTAACAACTTTAATAAGATAATGTATAGCTATTATCATACAGCAAGCGTAAGTCAAACAACTATCAGCTATTATTTCAGCAACAGAACGAACGCTCAGCCTCCCTGTACTCTGCAGCCTGGAACAGTTTACACATTGTCAATTTGAGGCAGAACTGGCTTTTTCCACATATCAAAATGTACACTGATAAATGGGAATTGTTTAGCAGACCCCACATGGCTGGGTAATATACTGTAGCAAAAAAAAAAAAAAAGAATAATGAGGGTATCAGTTGGACTTCTGAATTAATGATACCTTAAATTAGTTTAATTAATTAGTTTAGTTACCAGAGTAATTTAGTTAGCAGATTAATTAATGTTTGTTGAGCACTTGGAGATAAAAGCTGCATTTAAAGACCGTTATTACAGGGCGGATCCAGAGCTCCTGATGCAGGTTTCCTTCATCCTTTATTTATCCCAGCACCGGTTCGACCCAGGGGTTCAATCCCTGAGATTTCCAGCCAGCCCCGTGTGGAGGCTGGCTTGCTCATTTTCCCAAGAATTCAGGTGCAACACAGACGTTGCCACAGTTAGCACTCGTCTGGTGAAACACCTCTCAAAATGTAGAGCTAGACTGTTTGTTCACACCTCCTCTCCTCCAGGCCTTGGGTGCCCTCAGACACACACGTCCATGTGTGCACCAGTATACATATATATATTTACGTGTGTATATATATATATATATATATTTTTAGGTGCCAGCAGCTCTCACTCCTCTGCCTTCCTCTGTCCCCCACGATGTGGCACATCCTGAGCAGGCAGGCTAGGAATGTGTCTGTGCGATCACAGGAGCAAAGCACGAGGTTACAGACGGGATCCGCACCTCTTTGAAGCTGCCATTGCATCCGGGTAAGCGTCTAGCCCAACAGCAACATCAAGAGCTTTCTGTAAGTAATTCCTGAGCTGTGTAGGAACACGAGAGTCATTGCGGGCTATTTCTTGGGCTTTGAGGAGGTTCTCAGCAATGAGTCCAGCTGGTGTTTCTGAAATGGGAAAAAAAAAAAAAATTGAGCAATGATTTCATAACTGTTCAAATCAGCAGAAAGTTAGACATCCCCCCAAAAATGCTTTTTTTCATGTAAAGTACGGGTTTTTCAAGGAATATGGAAACAATCATGGTATTTTTTTCAAACTGAGAAAACATAAATACTTCTAATTCATTTCTCTCTTCTGCATTCTCCCTTTTGTCCCCACTGCTGATCCTTTTCTGAGAGGGAAAAAGATATTTCAAAAACACGAGTTTTTCATTTCTGAGGCACTGAGGCAAACGTCAAACACGGAACAGCTGCACGTGAAACCAACTCCTCCAGGTTATGTTTCTCTTGGAGAACTCGTGGCACTTCTCAGACCGCCCTTGCCGAAGCACCAGCTCCTGCCAGGCCAGGGCAGCTCCAGCTTGGCAGGGAGGAGGGAGAGCTCCCGCCGCGTGCCAAGGGGGTGCCCGAGCCTGCTGTGGAACAACCTGCGGTGCTCGTGCCCAGAATAAAACTCCACCTGTCCTAAGGCAGATGAACTGACAAATACACAAATAACAGTTTCTAGTGCCCGATCCATGATGGCATGAAATCAAGATACTTTACAATAAATTATTTTATGTAGGTGATGTAGGAAACACCCTGGCAGGGAAGCAACCCCTCAACCCTCTTGCCTTCAACCTTCCACAGCAGCTCGTGGTGGGCACACCATGCCCTGAGCCCTCGTTTCTCATGGCACAGACAGCTAACGATGCTTGAACCCAGCAGCATCTTTTCACACCCTAAAAGCTAATTATTCAGATAGAGAGAAACAATGATGCACAGCACAACAAACATCAGCATTTCAAAGGCTGGGGAAACATCTCCAAGATCAAGACCAGCCTGATGTAGGGACAAAAACAATGCTGTCCGTGGCTCTGAGACCCCAGAAAACCCACAGCAGCATGTGGCAGCAAGGCAGCGATGGTTCCTGGTGAAGTGTATCCATACAGAGCGAGATGTGGGTCAGAAAACCTCTCTCACTCCTCAACTGCAAGGGCACATGTTTGTTATGAAAGCTGCAGCTAGGGCAGATTGGGGACACAAGGCTAGCAGGCAGTGAGTACACCGGGGTGGAGCAGGCTGCCCCAGGCAGGATTTTACTCCCCATGATTAAAAAAAAAAGCTGAAAACCAAGTGCCGAAGAGTCACAACCAAGGACATGCTTCCTCTGGAGGACTGGCCCGGGCTAGCCCAGCAGCTGTGGAGCAAAGCTCTGACCGTGCGGGGCTGCTGCTGCAGGATGGGTTTTGGTGGGACAGACATGGCACAAGGCACACAGCCACCCCACAGCCTCCTGGCAGAGCCTCAGTGTGAAGCCACAGGGGACATCAGAGCATCCCCTCACGTCCGTAACCCCCACAGCCCACTGCTGTTTTAAAATGCTGCACGAAGGCAAATGCAACAGCAGATTTTAGGAACTGTTTCAGTCAGATCGTTAAAGGATCAGACTCCAAAATGGAGATAGATGCATGCCTCTGACTTCTCTCTTTTCCATTTCTTTCCTATCGGCTCAAAATGCCACTCATCAACAGACCCCTCAGCCCAGCTACGTGTCGTGCGACAGCGCCGTGCCTTTTGGTAACGTTTCCACCACCTCCCCAACCTCTGGGGCTCACCCCGCGTGCCTGTGGGGTGCCAGATGCCGGGAGCTGCCTCTTCCATCATCCTCCCTGCCAAGCACTGGGGCTTTTTGCTAATGTAGTGGGGGAAAGAAAGAGAAAAAAAAAAAAAAAAAAAAAAAAAAAAAGAAACATGCGTATAATCCATGTCGGATTTTAGTAATAAACACGTTATACTCCTGGATGAGTAACAGACAAGGATGCCCTGCCACTCAGCGAGGGGGGAGCAGATACCTCCAGCTGTTTTGTAACCTGTTATAACACCCCTGCGAGCGCCAGGACTGCTACCAGAGAGAGGGAACACGCAGGGCGCGTGCCAAAATCAACTCCACGCTGGGGTTATACAATCAAGAAGCGATGTCTGTGGTTGGGTTTTTTGCCTTTTTTTTCTTTTTTGTTTCTTTTTTTACAGCCCAGATGATGCTTTGGGCCAACGGCAGAGGTCAGAATTGCCTTCCTTTATGCAAGGGTCCGACAAGTCAGAGCAGCACCCAGGGCTGCCTGCCAGTTTCGGCCAGGCTGCACTCAGGGCACTGAGCACTAAACTGAAGGAAAATTTATGCAACTACTTTTTTTTTCGCCTGTGTAACTCTGGGAAAAGCCTCTCATCTTCATGGTTTTGCACAACCCTAGGAAAGCAGCTGAACCACCCTAAGCACTAAATTATGCTGCCCGGTTGCCTCCCCACGGCTGTCTATGAACAGACGTGGCTTTCCCCTTCCCATCTAATTGAGCATCATCTTTTTCACGCGTATAGGAAAGAAAAAAAAAAATCCTGCTACTTCACAAGTGGGATTGAACCTCCTCAGCATGGTTTTAGATGTTATTTTTAGGGGGGAGCTCAGCCAGGAAAGGGGAGGACGTGGTGCTGTTTGCAGGGGGCTGTCCAGAAGACAGAATGGATTTGGCAAAAACAAAGCAAAGATGCCACATCCACAGCTGTGGGACTGAGCCTTTGTTTCCCATTTGGGGCCATCCTCACATCACCTTCCAGTCTCTGGATCAATTCTGGAGCCCCAGCTTTGGCTTCCAAAGCTGCTCTCCGAGGCAGAGCACTGAAGCTGCTCCACCGACCACCTCGGGAGCTGAGCACTTTGGCAGGAGATGCTTAGCACTAAACACCAGGAAATCTCATGAAACCTTTGGAATCAGAAGTCTAATCAAACTTCCCAACCAGCTCCAGCTGTCATATTTACCAAGGTCCCTCAGGCAGCCATAACAGCTTAGCACGATGCTCACCACTTTGTCTCAGCGTGTGAACACACCTCAGAGGTGGTGGCTTTGGGATGGAGCAGGAGGATGAGGAGGAGGGAGAGGAAGCAGCTGGTGCAGGGAAGCTGCAGGAGCCAAGGTGCTGAACTCTGCCTGAGCTCCAGGGGACAGCAAGGAAACCCACAGCAGCTACACATTTTCTATGAGCTCCAGCACTAAAAAAGAGGTGGACAAGCTGAGCACCTGCAGCAGGGAGCCTCTGGAGTCACCAGCAGGGGACATGCAAAGAATTCCTTTATTTGCATGTACAGCGCAGGGTGCTGTGTGGGCAGGGGTACATGCTGACAGTTGGCTTCAAAGCCCCAGGCACTGAGGGGAGCCTTCTGACAGCTTCGATGGGTTTCAGATCCGGCTGCGAGAGAACAAAGTCTCCGCGTTCAGAGCAGCCCAGATTCCCACGCGCAGTTGTTGATTTTAGAAAACAGCCAAAAGGGGCAGCAAGCATCTCGCTGTGTGTGCCACGCCAGGCATACGCAGCTCTCACAGCAAGCTCAGAGGCTAAGGCTGCAGAAAAAAACTCGTGTAAAACAAGCATCCCAAATTACTCACAGCCAGACACCTTCCTGGCACTGCAACATCCTCTGTTCCTCCTGTTCCTTTCTCCCAGGGGTGTTCTCCTCCCTCCATCCTGAGTTCCTGCAGACCCACCTCGTCTGCTCAGCCCCAAGCCCCTCTCCCCCCACATCCCCCCCTGTGCTCCTTTCTGCCAAGTTCCCCAGCTGGACCCTGAGCCCTTTTGCTCTCTCGGGACACCCACGCCCTTTGGCACACCCAGACCGAGTGCCACCCCAGCCACCACACGGTGTTGCCCATCAGCTGAGAGCCTCTCCCCAGTCCCTGCTGGAGTCATCAGAGGGCGGCCATGGTCTGCAGCCCTGCACCCTGCCCCTGCCTGGAGGCAGCTTCCCCTCCCTGCACCCAGCAGCTCCTTTCCTGCAGCTTGGATTTAACTTTTTCAAGCAGCAAAAGCTTAAAACCCTTTGCAGAGCATGGCTTCAAGCCCGGAGCGGGGAGGTTACCTGCAGGATAACGCATGTTGCCTCTCATCCCCACCCCAGAGGATGCTGCTGCGGGGTTGCTGGCCATAGCAAGGTGGTGCTCGGGTGTCTGGCGAGGGGTCCTGCTTCCCAGCACGATGCAGTGTGGCACACAAGGACCGGGCAGAGCCCCAGCCCTGGAAGAGGCTGCAGAGGGAGGGTGGCCCCGGGCTGGGGCTGTGCCCGTGCCAGCTGCTGCTGCTGGCCCCCACCCAGGGCGCGGGCAGCGGTGAGATCCAACAGTGTCTGACGTGAGAAATGGGGGGGAAAAAATCAAAAACGATTTTCGGTGCCTGCACTTTATGTAAGAGCGATATTCACATCCGGACCTTGGGAAGCTGCTGGCTCTCTGAGCTAATCAGCCCTTTCGTAACCTCCTGCTTACATAGCACACAAGACACATCCCGGCTGAGCCGCCAGGTGTGGAGCCCCAGGACTTTGAAGCCCAGCTTATTTAAAAGTGGTCCACGGACACGAGGTTGCCCCACACAGCACTGTGGGGTCGGGAATGCTTTCCAGGAGAGCACCAAGTGAGGGCAGCACAGCCCACGGCTGTGTCCTGGAGAACCACAACCCGTGCCCAAGTCTGTCCTGCTGGCAGGCTGCTGCTCGAGGAAGTGGCAGTCTTTGGCTGGCACAAATGGAGATTGGAAAGTCAGTTTGTCATCCTCTGAAATGCATTACAAGATATTCTGCTGCCCCAAAATAGAATGGAAAGTATAAATGGAAAATAAGCAAATGTCAGCACAAAAGAGTAAAAGAAAAGCAAACAAAGTAAGTCCCAACACTCAGTAGATTGCTATTAATCAAAACAAACAAGATGAGGACCGAACTCACTGCATACCTAAGATTATTCCAGTTTGTAAGTTAGTAAACAACCAGCTGTGCATGTATTAGACCTGCGGCCCCCGTGGAAAACAATGCAAATTGTGTTTGGATTGGGAGTTAAAATTTCAGATGAGTATTTGGTGAGCAGGCTAAGAGCTTTAATATGCCACCTAATCCTCCCTCCACTAGCTTTGGAGGTGACTTTGGGCAAGTTGCTCCTCTTTTGGTGACTCTGTCTCCTCCTCTGTATGATGGGGATAACAGTCTGTCCTCCAGAAAGTGCTTTGCCATCTGGAGACGGAGCAGCAAGAGCTGGATGTTAGGCATTACGGCCTTCCCAGGACAGCACTGCGTGGCTTTAGAGGAGTTTATTCCTGTAGCTTTTTCCCAAAATGAACTCTGAGATAAATCTAGGTTCCTAGATGGGTTTGGCTGCAACTAAGCCTTGAATGCTAGCACTTGTCTCTTGTGGAACAACATTTCCCAACCTCTGCTTTTATGCCTGTTTTCAGTTATCTTGATCTTTGTTCCTGAACAAGGGCAGCTTTCAGAGAAACGGCAAAGGAGAAGGCAAGGACGGGGTTGTACCTTCAGGCCCTGCTGGCGAAACCAAAGACCTTCCCCTGTGCTTGGCGCAGAGAGCTACGTCAAGGGAGCGTTTGGTGTGGTGGGCTGAGCCCATCTGTGAGATCATAAGGAAGAGAACAGATCCTGGTACCTAGTCCACATTGCTGACTTTCAAATGGCTCCTTTGTAGGGAAACTTTGGCATTTACAGACCCACGGGAAGCTGCGCAAACTAATCAAAACTCATCTCACCCCCCAGCCAAACGGCCTTTCAGGGGACAAACTCCCGCTGATTATTTTTTAAGACCTACAATAAAATCTGGAAGCAACAAAAAGAATCATTCCAGTTCTTGATGCAATGCCGGGAATGTGAGCCCAGAGCAGCCAGTGCTGAACATGTCCCCGTGCTCCTGCTCCCGTCACACTGCCATAAAGGCAGGTCAGAGCCCCAGCCCGATCTCTGTGCAGCAAAGGAGGTTCCTGAGGAGCACTGAGAATCACAGAAATTGTTTTCATAACTTTAAATTTGCTGTAGGGCATCATGTTGGGTGTTAATTCATGCACTCCTATTGTACTTCCTAGGCATTATAAAACTGGCTGATTATACAAGCCCAGCCTGGTGCCCGCACATGTCTCCAAACACTCCTACCACCCCTCGCCCGCGTCCCCATTAGATAACCGCAGTTTTGTAACTGGTCTCCTCGCCACCTCCCCTTCCAACACCTGGTCACCTGGAGACTTTAAAAAGCACCTCAACAGCAGCCAGCTCCATGAGCTCTCTTCACGAGGAGATTTTCCTCTCTGGAAACATGCCAGTGTCAGAAGAGGGCTTTGCTCCAGTGCCCCCGGCCACTATGCACGAGGAGCCCCGGCACACAGACTTCCAGCTGGTGAGAGTCAAGAGCACATGGTGCAGGATCAAGAAAGGAGAAGCTCTTTCCAACTGTGAGGACAAGATAACTCTCTCTGAAGCCAAAATGTAAGTATAGGAGCCCCTGTTGCTTGTTTGGCTCCAGCCAAAGAGCGTTGTCACCCTGGTGGGATGCATTTCAGACAAACCCTCTGTGAGCCACTGCAGCTGAAATCCATCACTAAGCTTACACCAGTATGGAAAGGGCTTCAAAACAAGTGGATGTAGATGGAAAGGTTCTTTAAAGTACTGAACAACTTACGTGGGTACTCCTGAAGGCTGCGATTGTCTTCCCACTCCGATTTGTACATGAAATCTTTGTGTGCAAAAGCTCATACGGACGCTTGCGAGAAGGCAGCTGCAGGTAACTGGGATGGGAAAAATAAACACATCAGTGAAAGTCAGGGACAGGAGAGATATCATAATGTGTCTCTGAAACTGAAGAAGTCACCTAAGGCTGAAGTCTTCCCCCAGAGATGCACACACCTCTTTACTGGTATTAAATCACTCCAGTCAGTGATCCTTTACTTACAGGATGCTCCTTTCCTAGAGCATGCAGCCCGATTTGCGTTGCAGGTCTTCCTTAATATGGCTGTATTTTACAGGTCACAATTTTTCTTGTATTTGCAAAGTTCAGACTTTAATTTCTTCAAGCCTAACCCTTTTCCCAGTCAGGTCAGAGAAGAAGGACGAGCAGCTGTGTGTGAGCATTTACCAGACAGAGCTGCAGGAGGTAGAACAGGGCTTCAGTAGACCCAAGGCAGTCTGCTGCATCTCAGTCTACAGCAGGATGAACGCAGGGCCAGAGCACACCCACAAAACTCCCTGGCTGAGATATTCTTCAACAAGGGGATGCTCAGCTGCAAATTCTCCGCTGTTTTCATAGAGCAGAGGGGCTGAAACGGGCCACTCAAAGCCAATTTCCCCAACTAATACTCAAAATGGTCCTGTCTCTTAAGGGTCATGTGCTGGAGATGGATGCAAATATTGTGAAGTTACAGCATTGAGGTATATGTGTGCTGCATTAAAATGTACATGATGATGTTTTTAGTAATACTCTATTTTAAAAGTCCAGAAGAAACTTTTTGGAAGGTCTAAATCTATAAATCTTCACTATTTTTCTTTAACACCTAAAGCTAGGGACAGATTTAGAGGCAATTTGGTGTCGAAGAAAGCAGGAGACACACCTATTAGACCTCTAAGGGGAAGGTCAGGCATGTGGAAAGAAATTGGGCATGTAGAGAAACCTGGTTATCCAACGAGCCATCAACTCATTCAAAAAACAAACCAAATATTCACAGAAACTTTTGATTTTTATCCAACTGCAGCTTAAGATGAGGTCTCATAAAATATACATGTACTTTGTGGTTTCATTCTTTCCTTTTTTATTCCTTCTTTTCCTTTCCATGTCCGTTCCTGATTCACAACAAACTAAAACTTTTTGACTTAACTTTTCCCCATGCTCCCTCTTCCCAGCAGCAGAAGTAATATCTAGGTTTCAGGGCTATGTTCTTCACTGTTACCAATAGATACTGCATGTTAATTTCATAGGATTTTTATCCATCCACCCTCCGGTATGGAAATCTTACTCAACTCTCAAGTCCCTTTCTGTCCCTACCTGGGTGTATTTCCTATTCCTATCATATTTATTTTGAAATAACTTGATCCACTCTTACAGACATATAGGAGATACTATTTTGTCTAGGAGTTCTGCATATATATGGTGGTGGGGGATAGGTAGACAGGAATAAATCAACTCTTATCACCAAATCTACAAGGGAGAGGATGATTCCTTCAGAAACTCTTTGAAAAATTTGAGAATCACCTCCCCACTACCTTCTAGGAAACCAAAATTATTGGTTTGGGGTGTTCTGATGGTTTGACAAACGGGTAAACTGGAAGGGAAATGATTTATTTCTGCAGCCCTTCTAGTTCTGTGTTATCATTGCCATGCAGAAGTTCAGCCTGTTGGCTTTTCACCAAGAAGTTGGCAGCCCTGCACCTTTGCAGCACACAGGCACAGACCCCACGCATTTAAGGAGGTGGCCGGGGCTGGGGAACAAGTCCAGATGTGCAGAGTACAAAAGAGGAGGATAATGATTACAAACCATGTTTTCTGATCCCTCCCAGAGGTGAATGTGTCTCCAAGAGTGGGATTTCCTGGACAATCGAAGCTCCCATCTATTTTTGCTACAAAGTGGTAGAAACATTCGATATTCTGGATCCCTCTAACACCACTCTCCTCTGGGGTCACATCACTGACCCCCAGCAGCTCGAGGTAGCCACTAGTGGCAAAAAGAGGCTGAGGCGCTTCATTGTCATAGACGAAGTCGTTGATGAACTTTACGGCTCCAAAGTCAGGCAGTACTTTGAAGAGAATGACGTTCAGTACAAAATCCTCGCCCTGCCGACCACCGAAGAAACGAAATCCATGGACCTGGTCTTGAACATCCTGCAAGAAGTGCAGAACTTCAGCATCGACAGGCGAACGGAGCCCATCATCGCCATCGGAGGCGGCGTCTGCCTGGACATCGTGGGACTGGCCGCATCCCTCTACAGGAGACGCACGCCTTACATTCGCGTCCCAACCACCCTCCTCTCCTACGTTGATGCCAGCGTGGGAGCAAAGACCGGGGTGAATTTCCTCCAGTGCAAGAACAAGCTCGGGGGCTACACTCCCCCAGTAGCTAGCTTCCTGGACAGGTCCTTCATTCAGAGCATCCCTCGACGACACATCTCCAACGGCCTCGGCGAAATTTTAAAGGTAGGAGCTTTTGCAACTGCAGTTATTAAACGTTAAGTATTGGTAAGGTGTCCATCAGCATCCACAGCATTATGGACACGAGGGTCGGTCACTAAGGCTGCATGAGGACTTTTAACTCTCACTGAGCCTACACATAAGTTTTTACAGCTTCCAAATTTGTCAGAATATCCCTTACACACACAGTGCCTACTGCTGACTCTGCAGAGTAAACACCACAACTCAAGGCCAGACACAGATGCACAACCATGGAAGGAAGAGAAAGATCCATAGCACACTTACATGAGCTGCTGGCAGACAATTCCAGGCTCATTATACTGGGGATTAATAATCTGCAAGATCATTTGCACCTACCTCGGGGGGTATGTCAAGTGTGGTCAATCAATCTCCTGCGAAACAAATTCTACTTCTAAAATTACCTGGGAAGTGCATGGTAAATGGTTCTGTGCTTGAAGAGCTTTTAAAACTTTTGATAAAGTAGAGTTCAAGCTATTCAAGTGTATTAAATACAAGTTCATCAGTAGTTTTTTCAGTGCTTGCACAGTGGGAAGTCCCCAGGATACCTGAAAGTTTCTGGCAGGCACCGGGAAACCCGCTGGCCACCACTCCCCACTGCAAGAGGGTCTAATGCCAGAGTCAGGGGATGAAAGATCACATACTTGTAATCATTAAACCCTTTCTGAACCCCCGTATTCTATGTATTGCAGAACTTTCCCAATTTCTATTCCCCAAAGAGCAATTGCAAGAATTAGATGAGAGTTGACCTGAAATGGCCTGGAGGTTGTGCAGGAGCAGGGGAACTTGCCCAGCAGTGCTCCCACACAACTCTGACATTTTACCATTTCCACACCCTTTTTGCAAACATCTCCACTTACCATAGCCCGAAACGCACATGACAGCACCATGACACATTCATAGAGACCTGCTGAATATTCACCAAACCAGCATATCCTCCCTGTTCCCACAGTCCCATATGCATGCTGGCAAGAACTGTGGCTACAGAAATACTAGTTCAGGTTGTACAGGTAGAACTTGCCCTTGTACCAGGCACGCAGGTACTCCTGCTAGCACGCAACACAGCACTATAGTCCACTCTATCAAAATGTTCAATTTTCAGCAGCAAATACAGGAATCACATAGCTATCTTTAATTACCTCTTCTGTTTTTTCATCCTAGATGGCACTCATGAAACACAAAGGGCTCTTTGACCTGCTCAAGAGCCATGGGAAATACCTGCTGGACACCAAGTTCCAGTCTTGCAGTGGCTCTGCTGGCCACGGCGATGCTGCACTGCAGACCACCAGGATTGCCATCGAAACCATGCTGGAAGAGCTGGCTCCCAACCTCTGGGAGGACGACCTGGACAGACTGGTGGATTTTGGTCACCTTATAAGCCCAGAACTAGAAATGGTGAGTGACAGACTTTATACTGCAATACCCTTTTTCAATAAATAAAGAAAGAAAGAAATAAAAGAGGTGCTCATATAGCAACATGCAAACTTTGTGCACCCAATGCACCCAACCTGGTCCCGGTGGCTAAGACGCATTTCCCCCCATCCGTGTTTCCTATTCAGGAAATTGTTGCAGCTTCTTGCTAGGCAATTACCAAAGCACAAAGGTGACCAGGCTTCAGTGCAGCCACTGGAAATCACCAGCTCAAACTGTAACAGTGAAAAGGCAAGGAGAGCACAGCCTGTATCACTGGGGGAAAATTGCCGCTGAGGACTGAGGGAGGAGGACCAGATCTTATACAAAATTCAGAGCTCTCCTCTCCATCCTATTGTGCTCTTCATCAGTGATTTGAATGGGAGGAGAATTAGATCCTAGATCCCTACGGGAGATTTTGCATGCCATTAATCATTTGTAAAAGAGACCATCCTCTGCAACCCATAAATCACAAAATGCTAAGATATGTGTACTGCTACCACTGAGCTGAATGTTAATTGTCACAAGTACTTCTAGAAAAATAATGACTAGTTTCCTATTTGGCAACCCAAACCTTTTCCCCACCTACCCTTGCTCTGTTTCAGAGGGTTTTGCCGTCGTTGATGCACGGCGAAGCCGTGAACATAGACATGGCCTTCATGACGTACGTGGCCCACACGCGGGGGCTCCTCAGCGCCGGCGAGAAGGAGCAGATCATCCAGTGCATGCGGGGCCTGGAGCTGCCTGTCTGGCATGGTGGCTGCAGCTGGGCCCTCATCAAGACGGCCCTGAGGGAGCGCCTGAAGCACAGCGGGGAGCAGCCCCGCATGCCGCTGCCCACCGGCCTCGGCGTGGCAGGTACGGCAGTGAGGAGCACCGGGGACACCCCAGGGTGGGGACACATGGGGCAGCAGGCATCCTGGCACAGTGACATGCTGGAGAGTGTGTCCTGAAGCTCTGGTGCTCATTACATCTCTCTTAATTTTTCAGCAAAGCTGCAGGGATGCAGCTCGGTTAAGGACCGAGACCCCGTGCATTGCATGACTGCCCGGTGCACATAGCAGATGTGTTCACAAACGAACAGTCTAAATGCAGTGCTGGGGCAGACAAAGCAACAGTAAAAATAAGAAAAAAAAATAATTCCCTCGTTATATTTGGGAATAGTTCTTAAATAGTCCTTGGCAAAAGGGATTTAGTGTGCCTAGAATGCCTAGAACTGATACTGGAAAACTAAATAACAACTGTCCACTGTCTTGGGTGAAATATTCTTACCTATAAGACAGTAAAAACAAAATAATAAAACCACTAAAGCAGAAGCAATGCATGGGACCAGGTTGCCCTCTTACATCAATATCCAGACTGTTTCCATCAAACGTCAGTCTCTACGCACTCACAAGAAGTCAGGCTCTTGCAAACTGTTTGTAGGAGCTACTCTCCCCCTAGTGAATCAGCTGTGAAAAGCTTCCCTGGATGCCCAGCTAACTACGGGTCTTATTTTACAGACATTTTCAATGACACCAGCGAGGAGACCCTGGAAAGAGCATACAAGCTGTGGGTCAGGGACTGCAAGACGGCGCTGGAGGAAGGGCCGGCTGCCCTCTGAGAGCCGTGAGACCAGGCCGAGGTCCTGCCCGTGTGTGGAGCTGCTCGACATCCTAAGTGAGCGGGCAGGACTGAATTTAAACAGGATAAACACAGCAGCACCTGCAAACCCATGAAAACTCCAGAGCTGCAGGGAGCAAGCACACTGGTGTCTGACCCGGTTTACCTCTTTTGGTTGCCCTAGCTGGAAGGGAATTTGTTACAGCAACACTGTGCAAAACCATCTGCTGTAGGTGTCAGTGAGCTCACATCTCCTTAGGTGGGAGGTGAGCAGTGTTTGTTCACTCACCTGCTCCATCCATCTCCACGGTCCTGCACAGGGTTTTCCCATCGCTGCTTGTTGGACCCCTCAGGTCGACAGGCGTACGGCCGACAGACCCCAGGGAAGAAGCATCTTGGTATCACCTCATAAAATCTCCACGCTGTGTAAAATATTTCAGAGGGGTATCTCCCTCGTTGGTTTTGGCATTGAGTACTTCTCATTTCCTCAGTTCGTTCAAATTAGCAAGAAATAGAAACGGCTATCGGCCTCTGCTCTCAGCACATGGCGGCTGCAGGCCGCCTCAGGCTGCCCCAAGACCAGCAGATGGCCCTGCTGTAACACAGGACAGGCTCTGCCCCTTGGCAGCCCTTACAATCGCCCTGATGTGCTGTCAGGCCTCATGGTGCTGCTGGAATCTGCAGCAGTGGTTTTACTGCACATCCCCTACAAGCTGCTGGTGTGACAAAAACGGTACAATTTGCACCAAGCGTTGCCTGTGAACCAGGGTGAGCTTCAGGCTGGAGCAGCAGAAAGCCCCTGGGCTCCCCCTCAGGGTGGGCTTCCAGCAGCCTCCCCACCTCAGGGCTTCCAGGTCAGTGAGGCATCGCCTCCAGCAGCCTCCGTGACAGCTCTCGAGCTCCTGGCAGGCACAGGACAGGTTAGATATCAGATGGTGACCGAAAAACGTAAAGTCAATGTCGTCCTTCTCTCTGGAGGCTGAATCAAAGCAATCACAGTCAACAAACTGCCTTTGAATTATTTACAGCGTTATTTTTTTGTTTTGTTGTATCATGCCGGTTGTGCTGACATGCTGGGTTGTGTTTTGCTGAAGTAATAAAAGCTATTAAAACTGGGAAACTTTAATTATTCCATTGCTAACCACAGCACGTGTGTGTGTACGTACATGTGCTTGAGACACTGGAGTAAGGAATAGAGACACACGACGAATCTCTTTTCCTCTTGAGCCTGGAGAACACGGGCCTAGCAGTTTGCGGAAGGCCTTCCCACCCTTCCCTAAGGCTCCCAGTGATGTTGTGTCTGTATTGCAGACGATGGTGCAACAGAAGACAAGCATTTTTTAGGAATATGGAATAGCCCCAGGTCTGCAGAGCCTAGGGACAATGCGATGTGACACCCCCGAGGGGAGGTCCCCATACCTAGGCCCCACCTAGTGCCAGTCACCCCTCGGAGCTGACCTGGGACCACAGACCGGTAGCTCTGGTGATCCTCTCCAGGCTTATGGTGACCACCTGAGTACTCTCATGAGTAGCTTTCCTCCTTTTTGGGAGCTGGAAAGGCCACTTCTCACATCGGATAACCCAGAAATCAACACAGGCTGTCCAACGGTGTCCTTCAGTGCAGGAGTCCTACCCCATCCACCTGCCCGGAGGAGGCACAAGACAAACGTCTGCTTTAGTTACTTTGAACATTTTGTGAGAGATCCTTAGGGGCCCAAAGGCATTTAGTTCTCCAGTCCCATGGTAAGCCACAGGCTCCGCACAGTCCACCAGAAATGAACCCAGAAGAGTCCCAAAAGCTCACGTACCCAGAAGGAGCCCAACACCCAAGACCCTTTGATACTGGTGACCACAACCTGGCTGGCGGCCCTCTCTCAGCTGTCCCCACAGGCAGGTCTTGTCTCCGTCCTCAGGAGCTGCTGTGTGTAACAACACATCAGAGAAGCCAGAGCACAATTAAGGCTGAAAAGTGAACACATGATTATTGTTTTCTACCCTTCCTTCTGCCGTGGGTGACAGAACACAATCAACCCCTGACACGCTTGGTTGCTTAGTAGCAGCCAGCCACATTTTTAATTACATACTAAAGTGTGCTAAAGAACATAAAACGGCTGTGTGACTGATACGTGTGTGGAGAAGGGCATGTGACAGCAACTAAATTGCTTCAGCGTCTGATAAAGAGAGCCTCTGCCAGGCTTGTCATTGAAACATCGAGGAAAGGAGGTAGGAAGCATTATTAATACAACACTGACTTCAAAATACACCTCATTGTTTGCAGTGCATTTTTCTTTTTTTAAGTGTCTGGAATGAATTTAGTTTTCATTTATCCAGCTTTAATTCCCGCTTTTCAAATGGAACTGTTACCATTAGACCTAACATCTCTGCTTATTTTCCTATTACTTCAATGACACATCGCTCCAAAGAAGGAGGCAGAAAGCCGTGTGGGACCCATCTGCATTCTCCGCGATGCAAGATCTTCACGGAGTTGTTTGGACAACATTGCTTGAGCGATGAGCGAGCGAGGAATCATTTTGTTATTGGCATGTTCTGAAGCTGCTCCTGTTGAAACCGTCTGCTCTGGAAACCGCTTCTCGGCTGCGTCCAGGGCTCTGATATTTCTTAATGGCAGAGTAACCAAGTGGTTATTATTCACATCCAGTCAATAGCAGTGTTCAACGTACCCTGCGCAACGTGACAGGGACAGAGGTTGTAAGCAGACACTGAAAGATCCTGGCTGACTGTATTTAAAGCAGCTCAGCAAACACCACCGAGCCCACCAGCAACTGCCCCACTCTTCCCCTCGCAGGAACCATCACCTTGAGCACTGCCATACAAATTGCACCCTGCATCCCGGCACAGCCACCTGCAGGCCACAGCGTTAGCTCAGACGCGGGTTTGCTGGTGCTGGGGGCTGGCAGTACAGCACAGCTTGCTGCGGGGACACTGTGGCCCCATTCAGCTGCCCTAATGGCCTGCATGCTTCCACAGCTGCAGGAAGGCATCCACTGCACACCCCCGTTACACCCCAGCCATGGTGGTTTTTATAAATACATGTAGAGACGTCAGTACTTTGATGCTTTGCATGCCGTGGTTTGTCCTGCAGACCATAGTAGTCTTCTTGTTGCCTCTCACAATGCTTGGGCAGCATTTAATGCCATGGCCAGTGCTCGGCAGAAGCCTTCCTGCTGCTCTATGACCCAGGTGAGGAGGCTGTAAAAAAAGGTAGATTTCCATTGAAGCTGCACCTTGAGGCCTCAGTGAAGCCCTGAGCCTCAATACATGCCTGTTAAGAGTTTCCCTCAAAAAATCACTTAAAAACAGAGCCATTTTAAGTAAGGTTGTGTTTTGGACCAGAGGCAAAGACAGGGCAGTGGTATGTGCAGCACGCATCTAACCCACAACCCGGGATCCAGATCTGTGCATTGATTTCAATAAACCAGGGCCATTTTCCAAGCCATTCCCCTGCAATTTTAAGCAAATATATTTCAAAAGAGCTTGAGACACAGTGAGTATAATCAGCTTTCAGTGCTGAGACCACCCCGACTGAACAGCACCAGCAGGGCAGCCCCTGCAGCCACCCAGGCAGCGCAGTGAGGCTCTTCCCAGCATCGGGAGCACCGAGTGGGAAGCACGATGCAGGGAGGTGGTGGCAGGGACGTGCAGCACCAAGGTACTGCTCAACCAGCCCTGCAGCACAGCATCCCGCACCCCCACTGTTGGACTTTCCAGCAAACCAGACCCCACACAGCATTGGCAACCTCACCCATTCTTTCTCGTAGCCCACACAGGATTTTTCAGGCTTGTCCAAAGGAGATAAAAGGCTCCCAACAAGCACCGCCACCACCTCCTTGCTGCCACAGATTGAGCAGCTTCTTACAGCTATGACCCTCTGCCAGGTTTTCTTCCTGCTCCTCTCGAGGTCCTGCAATCCAGCCACAAGGACAGCAGCTGCTCCCGCGGACAGCAAGAAACGTGCTCCCAAAACGCAGCAATGAGAGCTGGCCACAGAAAGGAAAGCCAAAATACACCTGAAAAACTCAACCAATTCAGAAACATCCTGGCTGCTAACAGACTTGCTGCTGCAGAACTAAACCATCACATCCTAACACCGTGCTGAACTGCTGCAGAAATAACATTACAGTCTGCTGGAAACACTCACGAGCTTTAACTCAAACACCTACAAAGGGGGTGCAGGGCTTTTCTGCTTATCCCTAGCAAAGTCAAGAAGCTGCACCCGGCATTATTTCTTGTGTTGTTTTCCAATTAACATTTTAAATTGAGTTCACTTGAACTAACAAGCATTTTCTGTTCCTCAATGGTTAAAAGATTTTCAAAAGAGCCAACTTCAAGACTTGTATAATTATTTTTACAGTTAACGCACTCGGGACTGCAAAGCCATGAGACAACACATGGTCACCACCACCACCACCGCAGCAATGTTCACAGAGATGGTGAGACCTCCACGCTGGGAGCACAGCTGTCAAAGAACAGGACCCGAATAGATGCAAACAACAGCAAGACGGGAAAATACCAAGATGGGAAGACAGAACAAACCCCATCACCTCCTCGCCAGCACTGGCACAGCTCCAGGCATGACCCAGGAGTGGCTGCAGGAACATTTGGCCCACAGAGGCTGTGGGTGACCAAGGGCTGGGCACTGGGCCTGGCTGCAGGAGATGATGGCAGCAGGGGCAGCTCTGCTTTAGCCCCAAGTGCTGACTGCCACCAGCTCAGGAGCACGGAGACATCCACCGCCAAGCCACAGACAGGGCAGCATGGCTGGGACTTGGGATGCACACACACAAAAATAAAAAAACAGTGACAAGATTCACTTACTTCGACAGAAAACGAGTGGCTGACACAGACGTATGTGAAAAACCAAATGCTTTAATCCATCTATCAAGAACAACAGTTCAAATTATTTCATCGGATACATTAATATTGATCCATAATTTACAGTGCTATGGACCATACACGAATTATTGCTGCAGTCAACAGCAG